CATTCTAGAATCTTGGAATCACAGAATGTTAAGTGGTTAGAATGTAAAGATTATGTAGTCCTAATCTGCCCTGCCATGGGCAGGGACATCTCCCCCTGGACAAAGTTGCTCAAGGCCTTATTCAGCCTGTCTTTGAACACTATCAGACTTGGGATATCCACAACCTCTCTTGGCAACTTGTTCAGTGTCTCACCACACTCACAGTATATAATTTCTTCCTAATATCTAACCTAAATTTTCCATTTTTTCCAATTTGTACTCATTACTTCTTGTCCTATCATTGCAGTTCCTGATGAAAAATCTCCAGCTTCCCTGTAGGTCCCTTTCAGGTACTGGAAGTTTGCCATGAGGTCTCCTTGCAACCTTCTCTTCTCCAGGCTGAAAAACCTCAGTTTTCTCAGCCTGTGTTCATAGGGAAGGTGCTCCAGTCCTCTTACAAACTTCATGGCCCTCCTCTGGACTTGCTCCAACAGTTTCATGTCCTTCTCATGTTGGAGACACCAAAACTGAATGCAGCATTCTGGGTGGGATCTCACATGAGCAGAGTGTTGGGACAGAATCACCTCCCTTGACCCTCTGGCCACATTCCATGCAGCCCAGGATTTGATTTGCTTTCTGGGCTGTGAGCACACACAGCTGGCTCATGTGGCGTTTTTCATCACCTGTCACCTCCAAGTCTTTCTTGGCAGGGCTACTCTCAATCACGTCTCTGCCCAACCCATTGGTGTGTCTGGGATTGCAGTGACCCAGGTGTAGAAGCTTACACTTTGTTGAACTTCATGAGTTTTGCTTCAGCCCACATCTCAAGCCTCTCAAGGTCCCTCTGGATGCCACGATCCCTTCTCTCCATTGTGTCAACTGCACCACACAACCTGGTGTCATCAGTGAACTTGCTGAGGGTTCACTTGGTCCCACTCTCCATGTCACCAACAAAGATGTTGAACAGTATCAGCCCCAGTATGGACCCCTGAGGGATACCACTCATCACAGGTCTCCGTGTGGACAATGAGCCATTGACCAAAACTCTGTATGCATGGCCATCCAGCTAGTTCTTTATCCACAGAGTGGTCCATCCATCAAATCCCTCTTTCTCCAATCTGGAGACAAGGATGTTTTACAGAAATGTGAAACACTCTGCGTTTAGTCTAGCTAGGCAATGTCAGTTCCTCTGCCTCTGTCCACCAATGCTGTAGCCCTGTCATGGAAGGTCAGCAGATTTGTTGGACATGTTTTCCCCCCTTGTAAAACCATTTTGGCTGTTACCAGTCATCTTTGTTGGCCAGGTACCTTTCTTGTTTCCAGTAGAACCTGCTCCGTGACCTTGCCTGGCACAGAGGTGAAACTGACTGGTCAGTAGTTCTCTGGGTCTTGCATTTTCCCCTTTCTAAAAACGAGAATTATATTCACGTTTTTCCAGTCATCAAGGACTTCACCTGACTGACACAATTTTTTAAAAATTATGGATAGTGGCTCAGCAGTTTTATCTGTCACTTCCCTCAGGACACACGGATGAACTTCACTGGGTCCCATGACTTGTGCACATTCAGGTTCCTCAGATGGTCTCAAACCTGGTTGTCTCCTACAGGGGGCTCAGGATCTTCTTCCTCCCAGTCCCTGCATCTGCCTTTCATGACTTGGGTGGCGTGGCTGGAGCACTTGCCATTGAAGGCAGAGGCACAGAAGTCATTGAGAACCCCAGCCTTCTCTTTGTCCAGGGTAGCCAGGTCTCCTCTTTTATTCCAGATAGGGCCCACATTATCCCTAGTCTTTCTTTTGCTTTCCACATGCCTGTAGAAGCCCTTCCTGTTATCCTTAGTATCCTGCAGGAGAGGTTTTGCCTTGCTGGGCACTATTACCTGAGTACAATCTCACATTTAATCCCCAAAGTATTACCATATGGATTTCATACCACATCACAACAGATAAATTCCATCATCCTGATCCTCATCTTCATCATTTATGTGAAGATACTTTATGTAGTCCACTTTGCCTACTTTATACACTTCATTTTTTCAGAATCAAACTTTATCAAAGTAATTTGACAGGAAAATAGGAACAGTGTGGTCTGTAGTATTGAGCCGTCAGCTCCTCTGGTCTGTCCCATTTTGTCCTGTCTTTTTGTCTTGGGTCTTGTTGTGGTAGTGTCTCTTGCAAAGTAACAAATAAAGAGAAGAAACTTAGTGAGAAAGTTGTGGCAGTGGCAACTTAGATGCAGCCCAGAACAAAAAGAAACCCATGCCACTTCCATGATAAACTCAGTTAAATTTTCTATGCTTGTCCTTTCAGAGGGCCAGAGAGTGTTCCTGGTTGTAGAAGGAGTATTGCAGACATGATAGCTTTTCCCCCATGCCCACCTCTAGACAGTGACAAAGTCTGTGAACCTGATTTTTCTGAGTCTGAGAGAGTTCCAGCCTGTCAGTGGCTGATCTGTTCCCAAGGGAAAGTCTCTTGAGAACATCTCTCACTCAAGGACTATTTTTGTAAATAATTTCATTTTCTCAAAACAGTTCTGTACATCTGTGATTAGTATGTTTTTCTCTTGTCCCACCAATGGGACAGAGACGTGATGTTCCCTTTACCAATCATGTTAAACCTGTATCATAATACCCTACAAAAAGCTGAAAAGTTCAGAAAATGAAGCTTTTCCTGAGCATCTTGTTCTGGCTGCTGTGATTGAATTCACACTTCTACTTCATGTCCAACTGCAACAAAAGTCTTCTCTTGCACCTTGATGAGCAAAACAGAAATTCAGAAAGGCATTTTTCAAGGCAAGGCAGGAATAAAAGTACATGCTGGTTATGAAGCTTCTAGAAAGTCGGACTGACAGCTGATACATCTTGCCTTACTCAGCATCCTCTAGTTGTGAAATTACCCAATTCTGTGAGTAATATCTGAGAACAGGGCTTTTAGAAGGATGGTGGTCCCACCATCAGGTTGATGGGCTTGAGCTTAAGCTATACTCCTCTGCTGATCATCCTCTAAATGTGACAGGAGGAACACAGCTGTGGAACGTGCACCCGCTGCCTGCACTGCTAGTCATGCACTTGTGTCTGGTCTTGAAATGTAGAAACTCAGCATAACCAGTCTGTGGCAAACAAAAATACTTCTGGAGCACATAAGTCAAAGAAAATTGGTTTAAATTCCCAGTGAACTTCTTTGCAAACAGCACAGAGTGGAAAGACCACTTTGTGATAGACAGTAATTGCAGTATTTCCAGGTGCCATTTTGTGGTGAGACCAAGAATTATGTATTCCACGCACAAGAAAGAAGGAAAGCAAAAAGGCAGTATATTTTTTCCAACTCATCAGGCGACTATGGATGTTAACTATGAGCAAAAGCAGGGAGCACAGTGCCTGTGGAATAGCAGGCCACATAACTTTCTCAGTCTTGCCTGAGAAAGTGGCCTGGGAAATCATAAAGAGGAATTAAAACAATCCTCAGAGACAGAAGACAGCCTTGCAGGTGCTGTTTGTCTGTTCCTTGTTTTCTTGCAAGAGAAGGTCGAGGGGTGGAGTACCCCACTGACCAATGATGGTGATAAGTTAGTTTACTAACCAATAAGAGTTTTACTTTTCTGTACTTTTACCTATCTGTCTATAAAAGAAGATCTGAAGTAATAAACCTAGAGAGGGAGAGAAAGAACTCAACTCACAAGAGAATCTGTGTGGTTCTTGCCATTCCCAATAGAGCGACAGGCAGCTATGGCAGTGCAGTGTTCAGTTGTTCAACCTTGATTATAAAGAAGCTTCTAGAAAATATGATTTGGGCATGTTATTTTCAAAGTGGATGAGAGGAAAGCTTCCTTTCTCTGAATTGGAATTAGTTGTGTATGTGAAAGGTTATGGGGGGAAAAGCTTTCCAAAGGGTGTGAGAACACCTTCATTTATCTCCTTTAGATAGTCCATGTGGACAGTGTGTTTTTATATACTTATTATATACTTTTAATGCAATTCCAACTGCCACAGCATATATAAGAACCTGTGATCCTTCAGACATAGTTGTGTAACATCTAATGTGATCCCACAACTCCAGCGCTTTTCCAGTGACACTTTATTTTTTACACAAACATACAATGGATTTATTTTATCATAGTCAGAATCACAGGAGTGATCTAAGTTCTGGTTCAATCCATTCAATATTTTATATTGAATAAGAAAAGTTGTTCTTAAAAGTGTGAGAGACTTAACTGTGTGAAGATCCTTTAGTGATTCTTGAAATGATTAGCTATTTGTTACAGGGGGTGATATCAGGATCATGATACATAAGAAATTTCTTGGTACTTGAATATAATTGGATTGGGTTTTATATGCAAGAGGATATGCATCAGGTTATCCAAATGATAAGTCCACTGTACTGCAGGTATGAATAGCTATTTAAGTTAAGTAAACAGTAGCAGATGCTGTTGAACCCTGTAGGTCAGAACCAAAAGTATATTTGGATAGGGAAGGGAAAATTTATTAAATTGGGACAATTTTCTGGCTTTTCTCTATATTTGTCTAAGGAAAACCTGTGTTGCACTTCAATACCTTCTAATACTCACTTCTGAGAACAGTATTAGAGACAAAAATGAAAGTAAGAGAAGGAATTTGAAGAAAGAAATAATTACAAGCCTAGCCATCAGACCAAACTAGAGAAGTTTTCAGTTGCCCTGATGCCTTTGTGGTCACCATTATATCCAAAGTTTTGATAGTGGGAACTAAAAGCCATGATGCACAGGCACAGATGCTTAAAGTCTGGGAGCCTGGGACTTCATGAGAATTACAGAGCCCTGAGGCAGGCAACTGTAAAAGGAAAGTTAAAATTTTAGAGCTGGGCAGAAGGCTAGAAAGAAGACTGTCTTTTGGCTTTGTCACAGAAATACCTATTCTGTGTTTTTTGGTTCATGTAACTAAACATTACTTAGTCGCTAACATGTAAATCTTTCATAGTGCAAGGAATGTTAAAGTGTGTAATTTGTGATGTAACTTTAAAAGTATTTCTTGTTTGTTTTCTTTCTCTAGAGCCCAGTAAAGATAAATCAGATCAGCCTGGATGAAAGTGGAGAACACATGGGTGTTTGCTCAGAAGATGGGAAGGTACAACAAATCTATTTATATATTTGCTGAGGTAGCAGGTAGTCCTAGTATTAACACTAGGATAATAGTGATAACGTGTGGATTTGAATCCTGCATTTAGTACCACTATTTTGACCATACATATTGAGAACTGAACTCACCTTTGAATACTTAAAGTCAAATATATTTTGCACAAATATGCTGTAGGAAAAGTAATTACAAGAATGTCAATAATGTGACTGCTATTAAGCTGATTAACAGCTGTGACAGGAGGACATGTCAACTTAATCATTACTGCTGTGCCAGTTATACTTCAGTGACTACTCTGCTGTTCCTGCAAGACAGTAGTTTAATGCCTTTCTGCTATAAATCCACAAAATTGGATTTTGTGGACATGATTTCTGTGGGCTGGTGGTTTTCATTTTCACACACTTTATGAATGTTTCTCTTGAATTACAGAATCTTTTGATAAACAATCATAGTTTATCAGAAGAATAAAGTGTCTTACAACAGCCACGTTAAATAAATGTAAAATCAATATATGTACAGTTTCCTAAAAAACTGACACCTACTTCCTTGACTGAAGACATATATCATTTGTGTAGGGTATAACTAACAATTATCAGTGCTTCTCTGGAATGTTGAGCTGTGACATTTAGTGGTTTTGGTGATTGATTTTCCAGTTATAAGAATGTCTTTTTGTTTTTTCAGTCAGTGACAGTATTTTCTAATGTTGGTTGGCAATGATAAAATTCTAATTCACAGAGTGTATTTAAGCTTCTTTTTTAATATCGTGCCCATATACAAATGCAGTACATTAAAAATCATTTCAATAATTTCTCAATATCCAATTTACTTACTCAGGAGAACATTTCTTACACAGTAGATTTTTGGGAGGAGGAGTGCTGCATTCAGTAGAAGTTCTCTAAACTAAAATACAGCTGAATTTTGCAATAGGAAAAATGGGGAAACAACCCCTTTAGACTGTATACATTTGGTTTTTTTCACTCCAAATACATTTTTCTTTTTCCCTCAACATGCAGGCAGACAGTTTGTGTATCCAGGCCTCTTATTTCTGAGAGATATCTTGATGTCACAATCTCGACACAGTAATTAGGATACTAGTGGCTATCAAAGTGGTTGTAGAATTTTACATCCTGTGTGAAACACCACAAGAGTATCCTATTTGTCTAAGCAAAATAAGGCAAGGGTCAGTAATTGTGCAGGCTAATGAAAACGTTGAGCTAGCATTGTTGGTTTAGGTTTTCCTGTGGTGTTGGGGAGCAAGTCCATGCTGTTGCTGTAAGGGCTCCTCAGATGTGACTGTGGATGACTGTCAGTATCCACTATGCTGCAGTGAGGCAGCAAGCCATACACATTTTATTTTTGTATACTAAGTTAATATTAAATATACTTAATTTTAGAAATGCTAAAAACCCCATAGTCCCTACTCTGGTGTGACTCTGTTTGAAAAGACTTCAATACTTCAAATAGTGACTGTCTTCATTTAGTGAAATAGCTATTGTGGATGTATTGTGTGACATTGCATACAATAAAAGGCAGTCTAAAATATAATCCCATGGCCACAGGGATGGAGTATCACAAGTAAAATATTCTGTATATTTGCTTTCTTAGAGTCCGGGGATATTGATGCTTCACCATATTCTTACATTTGTGGAAACCTCATCTGGAGATTTGAAAGATTTGGGTATTTCAGAAAGACTCATGTCCGTGAAATAATATACTCCTAAAATTGATTAAAATACATACTTGTATGTTGTGCTACTGTATAAGAAAATGGCAGATTCCTGGCTAGATAATGTAGCACTTCTGGGTTCTGGTCATTACAAAAGTGTCACTTTCATTCCTTATAGCTCTTTCCTTACTATAGTGGGAGTGTTGATATTGTAAGAAGTTAAAATAGTTGTACAAGTAGTTACAAAGTCATTATTAACTTGATTCAGTATTGTAAAAGTGGTGAAATACTTTTTAAAAAAAACCAAAAAAACAAGGGGGAAAAACAGTGAAGCAGTAAAGTAAAACAGTTTAATTTTCTTTAATCAGTTTTAAACAAAAAAAGCAGATGTAATGAAGAGGCCTGGGAATTCTGAGTCAGCTGCAAGTATATTCTACCAATTAATGAAAATGTGTTCTCTTTTGTGATAAGCAGAGTGCATTTTCACATATCAAAGTGAGTCAAATAAGGTAAAGATGGAAACCATTTATTTTCTTGAGGGAAGGCCTTACAATGAGGACCTCCTCCTTGTATCTTCTGTTGGCTGATATATTTTATTTTACTACTACTATTTTACTACTATTTTTATTTCTGACCCTCAAACTAGATTTGATCTAGCTGTGTAGACTGCAGGGAGAGCACAGAAGCACAGTACAATTTTCTAACCCTCTTCTTGACAGTCAACATCCAGACCCAATGTCAAAACCTATTGCATGTATGTCATACATGTCCAACAAATGTTTCGAGAACCACTTGCAGATTTTCTGTCCTACACATTTGGTTCTTTGAAAACCATCCTTTCTAATGAAGCCAGCTGTAGCTGATCACCACTAGCATGGAAAGGAGCAGAAATCATAACTAATATTAGCCCTCTAATCTGTCTGCTGGGTATTGAAATGTTAGGGTGTAAGACAATTTTGGTGCTCATGTAAACAGAACTGAAAACAGGCTTGCATCTTCAGAATTGTGGAGACTTTTAGATTAGTTTTTTGACTCCTGATTTTGCTAAAGCTCCCATATGATTACATAAGAAGAGTGTAACTGGCACCCTTATGCTGGCTTGTAAGGTTTTTTATATGAAGAAATATAAATTATATTGAAAACCCATGTGCTTGCATGTTTTAGTGTCATCTCTAATGCCTGTAACAGCATTAATGTTAAGAATATCCGTGAAGTATAACACATTTTTTTAAGAAATATGACTTGTTTTCCTGCCTTTTGAACACTGATGGTTGATTACTTCTTCCACATGTGGAAGCAAAGAAGCATCTAAGTCTGCATGCACTGGAGTGGTGGGTTCTGGGTGTTTAAAATCAGACAGGACTAGCAAAATGTAGTAGAATCATAAAATCCCTTTTTCCAGCTGCCTAAGAGCATTGTGAACAGAGTGGGTTTGGAAAGTAGAAATAGATAAATCCAATATAGGTTTGTAATAGCAAAAGAATCACTTTCTTTCTGAAGACTATGAGACATTAAGAAGTAATAAACTGTTAGATGATGTCCCTAGAGTAAACATGATAACATGTATTTTCTGCAGAGTTGTTTTTTCCTCTTAGCCCACTCCATTTTGTTGTCATACTCTAAAAGAAATATCATATTGCCGTATTCAGTGATATATTAGGAAAATGTTAAAGGCACTGTTGCTAATTTTGATTAATTGCTTTTAATTTGGGAAAGCTGTTTTGTAATTTTTGAGGATTCTGCTTTCACAGAATTTCCAGTTTTATGTTTTAGCCATGTAATTTTTTTCTGCTTTCTCTTTTGTGTCTTATTTTCTTATATTCTCTTTCCTCTGTTTCTTACTTTATGTAGGCTGTTGTATTGAATATGATGTGCCAACTGATGAAAGCCCAGAAAACAAAATCCTCTAGACATCAGCCCAAAGGTTTTCTAGGCTTACAGCCAGGTCCAATTCAAATACAACCCTTTGGCTGGCTTACATAATCACAGCTTTGTGATACATCTCACAGTCTCCAAATATTGATTTTTCTAATCCTTTGGAGCAGTAGCTCAGCCCGACACAGTGCATGCAGAAGTATTTTTAAAGCATGTTGTTAGGGGCAGTATATTCGCTAATGAGTAATGGACTGAGCTGATAATGCTGCTTAGGAGATGTATCCAGGAGACAAGCTTGAAAGGAGATGGTGGAGATGTTTTTAACTTCACTGAGACTGCTGAATTTGGAGCCACTCTAAGGATGTCCTACTTCCTTGCTGATGGCTTAGTTCTTCTTGTAGTTTCCCTGAAGTTTAATATTTTTACTCTGTCTTCTTGACTGTCTGCAGGAATTTTGAGGGTTCTTGTGCTCTGAATTGATCTTTTTAGAGCAATTAAGCCTCACTTTTTGTGGCCCATTACTGATATTTACTGACTTTATTCTTCAGGTTTCTCTCTAAAGGGATTTATATTTTCTTGTTACTATTTTTTTTTAAATTATTTTTCCCCTGAAGGAATCATGACGGGAAGAAAGAAATAAGGTTAAAAGCATTGAGTACAGTGCTGAACATGCAGAGCAGAGTTACTGAAGGAAATTACCTTTTCCAGAAAATTTTCCAGAAAATAATGGAAGCCTGTCTGAGAGCCTTCTTAAATAGATCTGCTCTCAGATACGTTGCTCCATGAGATGCTCTTTTTTCTCCCTTCCTCCAGTGTGTCTATCCCTTCTCAGATGAGTTTGTTTCACCAACTTCTGATGGAGGGTGGAAACCTCTTAAAAACATAATGAAAAAGCAAGCCAGTTATTATTTTTTCTGGAAATCATAGCTAGTAAATCAGTTGCTAATTTCTGGCCATAAGTCTTCAGCCCCATTTCATTCCTAAGTTCTTCAGGAATCAGATTGTCAACTGTCTCATCTGAGAGTTAGGAAAGGGAATATTGTGTATTGAATGAGTAGACATGAGTCCAAAAGAGGGCTGTACTTAAAAAAATCTTGAGAGACCTTATGCTCTAGTCATATCATCTGAGTCTAACAATATTTCATAAACATCACTTGATATCTCTGTACTTGTTCTAAACTAGAGACAAGGAAACATTTAAAAAATCTGTTCATTCTCATGACAGTAGAAACTTGTTTTTTTTAAATTCAATGTTGATGCTTCTTCAGATGGATTAATTCTGATAGATACTATGATTGCCTATGGTTGCAACTCTGTTGCTGACTGTTAAATGGTCTGCTACCTCTGTACAAACGAGAAGGGAGGAATCTTCACAGAAAGACATTTCCAGTGACCATGGAATAAAACAAAATAGTACTGTATGCACTTGGGAGGAGGAGAGGATGTCTAGAAATATATGGAACTTGGATTACAGGCTGGTTCTGCTTTATTGTCACGAACTTCTTTTCTTATGTAAACCCTGTATTGCTTGGAGGGAAAAAATCCTACCATTCTTTCTCAGAAAGGAAGAATTTTAAATTTATTTTCTCCTGAGTGTTATTCTGTTGCTTTTACCATAGTTAGGTTCCTATCTGTTAAACAGATTTGATCACCCTAAAGCAAAAGGAACTTATTGTTTTTACTGTGATTGTAACAAAAAAAAGAGGAAAAATATTCATAAAAGTACTTCTGTACTGCTGCAAATTAGAGATATGTCGCAGTAGAATACCAGACTATATCAATTAGCTCTGAATTGTTAATTGTGTCTTCTTCTCCTTAAGGAAAAAAATGTTACTGTTAGCATTCAAATTAATCTTCTAGTTGTTAGGTTTTTACTTTCAGTGTTAATTGTTCAGTGTAAATTAGGTAAATAATTTTGGTTTTTCAATATACTTTTTCAGGTTCAAGTGTTTGGATTATATTCAGCAGAAGAGTTTCATGAAACGTTTGACTGTCCTATTAAAGTAAGTGCTTGTTTTAATCTTTAGTAATTGCGGTAGTGTTGTCTTTAATAACAGAAAGGTCACATTCAATCTAAATGAGAGAGAGGAATACCACTTCCTTGCAATGTTATTCAAGTCACTAGAAAATAGTTTTCTGTCTCAATATAAAAGCTTTTGATCTGGTTAGGTAGGAAGAAAGCCAATCTTGGTTTTGTAAGAAGTATTACAGAGTTATTCAAATATAAAAGGGAAAGTGAAAGAGAAATTGTCCTGTTTCAGGTTTACCCATCTCAACATTTCTTTGTAGACTTGTGATACAAATTCTAAGAGTTCTGCTAAATGTGAGGTCAATATTTTGCAACCAGTTCATATCCATTAAACCTGCCTGAAAATAAGGCAATGGGCAGTGATATTGATGTATCCTATTTGAAGGGGAAACTTGAGTTCAACTCTGCTTTAGAGAAGTGTGTTCTCCTGGCTGTTGAAAAAAAAAAAGGACCTCCACTAGGTATATGGGAAAATCTTTTTAACAGCAAACTTATCTTGCAGGAGAAAAGATGATCGGGGCAAATGTTTGCGTTTAGCTGCTTGGGGTCTTCCATGTTGCAGCTGCTCTTTAGGGTGCAGGGGAAAGGAATGGGATCATTAAGTTTTCACACATGCCAGATGTGACTCACTTGCCTCCTAAGGCCTTTACTGCTCATGCAGCTGGATCTCCACACTTGTCATGTAACATGTAAGGCAAAGAGACTTTGTAAGATGCTACATACTGCTGTCCTCTGACAGGGCTGAGGTGTATGTGCCCTTTAGGCAGACCCCAGACCAGATTTAATCGTGGTAACTCTTGCTTGCAAAAGTCCTGTTCTGTTTGGCCCTAATTCTGCAGCCTGCTGTACAGAGAAGTAGCCATTCAGTGTAACATGGCCCTCACTATCACACTTGTCATACAGAATATAATATGAAGAATTATCCTCTCTTCTAGGAAAAGCAAACAAATGTCTGAAACAAATAAGCTTTACTTCAGAGAAGGAGCTCAGCTGTAATTCTTGATAATTGATAAAAGGTTATTTAGTTTAAAAAATGATGTTGCGCTTCATGTAAATTCTTATCTAAGTCACAACCCTTTCTTTCCCCCTTCCCCCACCATCTCCAGATTGTTGCTGTTCATCCTCATTTTGTAAGATCCCAGTTCAAGCAATTTGTAACAGGAGGAAAGAAGGTAAGCATTCATAATGAACTTTGGCTACCTATAAATAGCCCTTTGATATAGCTCAGAAGGTTATGTATGTGACTTTTAATACCTAGAACAAAGACTTCCGCTTTTTCCTTCTCTTTATGCATTGTATTCTAAATCATTGTTAATTAAAAGATATTTCAGGGGGAGAGAAAGTGTGCTTTTTATGTTAAAAACATGTTGCAACAAGTTGAGATTCAGAGTAGAGATACCATTTTGTCTACATAGCCTGAAAAACAGGTAATTTATATTTCCTAGGCTAGATTTTTTTCGCTTTAATTTGTTGAAGTGGGAGAAGAGGTTAGACCTTAAAGCTGATCTCTTACAAAGCATGTTGATCTTGGGTTACCTGTGGGTGGTTTTTTGGGGTGGGGTTTTGTTTGTTTGCTTCAGATTTTATTTTAAGGAGATAAATCCAAATATCTTCATCAGCTCTTGTCCATTGTGAGGGGTTTTGTTGGTTTTCTTAAAATTAACTAGGGAGTTCTTGGTATGGTAGAGCTTACCCCATTCTAAGCACTTACATCTCTAGGTAGTCTTCTGTTTGGATTCAGTTGGTGTTTTAAATGTGTATTAGTGTAGGATACAATTCTGTCTTCCAGATTGCAGCTGTTTCCAGGTCTTACAAGTGTCTTATATCACATTGCATATTTTCAGTCAAAACACGAAATTTTATTTGGAACAGTTTCTTGATTTCATGAATTTTCTGTTGCTTTCTGTTATGAGTTAAGGATGAGCAATCCTCACAGATGCATCAAACCAAATGCCATTGCTCTCTCTTACCAGTATGTAAGAGCTACAGGCTTCTAGTGCTGAATACATCTTAATTTTCATTAACAGTTCAATATGTTTCAAAGCATAGCTGTGCTTTATTTATTTAAGTCGTGCTTGACAGCTCTTTCTGGCTGGTAGAAGTTGGTGTTGTCCTTAAAATAATGCACAGTCAGTGTGTGTCTGTGTCAGCCACCAGTTTGTGAAGCTTTTCAGTGCTGATAAAAGGGGCATGGAAAGAGAGAAGCAAGGAATTAATAGAACAGGGCTCCGTCAGGTGGTAAAAGATCTTGCATTCACCTGATGCCGAACAGAAAAAAACATCAGGGAGTTAACACATTCTCTTTGGTTATCTTTGATTACTTGACAGGTTGTTTTATATTCTGTCCTCTGGGGAATGGTGTACTCATTCTTAATACATTCATGCTTTGCTGAGGAACTTTCCTCCTCAGAAAAACTTTAATTGACGTCTTAACATAAGGTATTTAGCATTGAAACAAATGTCCCTTGACACCTGTAATTTGATTTTATTGGTACAGAAGACCAACAAATAAAACCTCTAGCTTTGTGGTAGAAACCTTTCCCCTTCTTTCCTCCAAAAGGAGTAAACATACTTTCATGAAAGCAACAACAAAATGCTTTCTGAAAATTCAGGAAGCTAAATTCCAACTAAGAAAGCTACTTTTTTTTTTTTTTTCTGAACATTTACACCTCTCCTTAACTGTAAAGCCAAAGTGTAGTATGGAGGCAGCAGGCAACAGGGATCTGAACACAAGAGTGAAGAGAAGCAGGCTGAAGCATACAGCCTCAAGGCTGTGGACCTCACCACTCTCTCCCCATGTCTGGGGATTGTGCCTACTTGAACAAAGTTAAACAACCAAGGGGAGCTCCTTCAGGAGGGAGGACAGGTCCTCCTGTGGCTCCTGAGGTCAGTGCACTTTTAGCCTTTGCGTATGTTTAGTGACTTTATCCCTGATAGCTGGTGGTGAGAGGCATGTTGCTTGTTGTCCTCATCCTCACCAAAGGTAACAGTATCTTCATTTGGGATCAAACTTAAAAGCAAAGCTTTGCTTAAAGCTCTCATGCTATGCTCCTTGCCTGAGGTGCATGGAAAAAACACAGTATGTATCATGTGATCTCTTAATCCAAAGGCTTGCTGGGTCTGTCTGTGTTTCTGCTTTTTGAGAATGATGACATAATGTATATAAGCATTTCTAAAGTTGAGTGGGTTTTCTTGTTTGGTTCTCCTTTATTTTTTTAGAAAAATATTCTTCATAACAATATAAAATGTGTAAAAAATACATTTTTCAGTTCTAAGATCCACTCAGGACATCCTGGAAATAAGTGTTCAAGAGATAGAAAGAGGGGGAAAAACCCTAATGACATGCTTCAGAGATGAACAGTGCAGGTCCTCAGTTCCCTACTCAGATGGATGTCTGGAACTTGGGTGGATTGCTGTGTAATGCTGGGATTTGCTACGTCTTAGAAGCTCAGCCTGACCTAAAGCTGACTTAAGAGCAGTGCTCCCTGGGGTAACTGGGGTAATCATTGTGAATTGTTGTAAGCTTAACTCTATTGTGCATATGTTTATATGGTTGCTTAACTTTGTTTAAGTAGGCATGCAGAGAAGCTTTTCTCTAAAACGTATTATAAACTCATTAAATCACTTGCTTATTAAAGCACTAGTTTTTAAAAGAAAAGAAATTCTGTTAAGCTTGAGATATTTTGTGTTGGTAAAGCTTATTTCACCCCTTTTCCTAAGTGAGTGAATATTATCTGTGCCTAGAAATAAGACAGGTACTGTGGAAATTGACACTATTGCAGTGAGAAGCAATAGGTACCATACTAAAAGGAGATGCTTCCCTATTCCCCTCCTCATCTCTGCAATTAACCACAGCACCATTGTGCTGATTTGGCAGATGATAGTAACCCTGAAATAATAATACTCTATATTGTAAATAACAGGGCATTTCTGTCCAGAGCAGACAATAGAGCTTCAAAGCAAGGAAAAAGACAAATACTGTGCTATTGAAGGCCATAACCTTCTACCTTTTAAAAAAGGGTCTAATCTCAAAAAATAACAGGGTAAAAGCCAACTAAATGAGGGTGGTAAAGCTGAAAACAAGGTGTTCTTTATTTAACTCTTAGAATGCTGGTCTTTGCCAGTACATCAACTAAATGAACATTTTTGTGAAGTCCAAGTATCCATTATGTCATGAGGGTTAAACAGACACACCTAACAAAGAAAGAAGGCTGAAGGTTATTTCAGTTCCAGAGTCAAGGTATCAGCTACTGTGATTTATGTAAAGATAACTTAAGAAGAGCAGGACAAGCTGAGATTCCTCTCTTGGCAGAGACATAATCCCTATTAATATCAATAACTAAACACAAAGGTTTTTTAATGAAACTCTTAGGGGAGTGAGTCCTCTGAAGTAATTGAGTTACTGCTGAATGTCTGCTAATGAAGGGTTTTTTTGAGTCTTCTCTACCTAGCGTGGTAGTGGGGACCCAACACAAATAGAGCAAGTGTATTCTGAAGTATAGAGGTGGAATGTTCCGTATCATACTGGACTGGGACTCCTCAATTTCCTAGGACATACATTTTGTATAATAAGTATTGATTTGCATATCCAGTCTGAAACATTTTAAGGGCTAGAGAACCAAAATAAAACTGCAGATTTACCCTGTGACTTTCTCATCTCTCTATGTCTATCTGTGTCTATATCTACATAATATATTAATGTGTTTTATATAGATATATGTATATAAAAATAAACATTAAAATATAATGGAAATATGTATACAAACATTTTTAACAGTGTCTGTGTTTCTTTTGCTGCAGAAGATACGTTATAAGAACTGGTGTTTAAATACAGATGTGTTTGATCATGTTTGTCCTATTTATCCTCCCAAAATTAACATTTGAACATATCAGTGCTTGTGTTTAAATATTAGACTCTTTTTTTCTTTGTCTTTTATAAAAGCAGAGAGAGCTTTTAATTTACCTGGGGCAAATTTCTCATGTAAGAAAATACCAAACAAACCTATTTCTGTGTCAGAATTCTGGATCCATAGTAACTCTTGCCTGAAAAGCAAAACGAGACATTCTAAATTCTTTTCTACTCCAGGTGGAGCAACATACACAGAGAAAGGATGGTGATTGCAAACAGTGCATAAATGGGAAGAGAAATAGCATTCCTGGGATCTGTGACTGCTGTTAGGGGTAGTGGAATTTGTGCATTAAAGTCAAGTGTGGCAAGGAATGTCTCAGTTTTTTAATCGTTACTTTTTAGCGTTAGCAGATGCATTTTGCATGGTGAGTAAGTAGATGACCTTACCTCTGAACCCTTACCTCTGATATGTACTTCATAATAATTGAACTACTTTGACAAATTATTAAATTGTCAGGATGCTGTTTGCAGCACAGTCCATTTTTAGAAAGCAGATAGTCAGCTGTTTGGCATTATGTTGGATAGAAGAGTACCAGACAAGAAAGGCAGATTGCTTTGCAAGCTATAAAATGTCAGTAAATACTCAAAGGTCTGATTTAAGTGAAGAAGGAGTAAATACTGTGGCAATTTCTGTACATGCATTGGATAATTTACCATAAGTAGGAAACAAACTGTAGCAGCAAGCAAACCACAATAATACTGGTCTGCCATTTCCTTGCTGCAATATATAATGCCCAGATGTATCCCATATTATTGAGCAGATGAGACATACATAGTATATCCTGCTTGCTTAATAAGCATTTTTTTTTTGCTTACATTTCTTCTTTATGGGTATTTGGATATGCATTTCTTCTTTATCACTAAAACAAAAATTCTCCTTGTGCTTCTACTTATCACTAAAACAAAAATTCTCCTTGTGCTAATAAATTTTGTTTGTGTAAATGGAAATGGATCATAGTCCTATGTGCATGTAATCTAAAGTTGTGTGTTTTACATATGTCTGTGTAGAACCCTTTTTTCCATTGCCTGAGGTGGCAAGCAAAGAGGATCTAAGTGTATGAAATGTGTCTCTCTGCCTGCAAGACTGCAGGATTTGCTTTTCAAGGTGTTAATTCTGTAGCTCTTTGTGAATAGGCAACAGCTGGAATATGGCAGTTGAGTTATTAAAAGTGAAGCCTAAAAAAAGTCTTGTGGCATTTGTTTGTGTTAAACATCTCTAAATTTCTAGCTTCTCTGTCCATGAACTACAGCAGTAGCTCCTGTTTCATCTTTCACTCTTGCCATTGCGTAGCTCCTGATGCTACTGTCTGCCTCTGCCTCCTTGCTTGATTTCCCTTGACTGCACTTACTGCCCTCCTCTCTGTTCACACCCCAGCTCCTTAGACAACATTCTGTGACAAAATCTTGAAAGCTCATCTTCAGCTGAAAGCTTGAGGCTTACATTATTCTCTGCCTTGTTTGAGCTCATCCAGTCCATCGTCTGTTTAAAATACAAAGTATAATTTTTTATTGTTGCTATATGTTTTCTTAGGGATGAGCTATTAAACAGTAAGTCTTCATGCAGCATGCTGTTCTGTGTTACTCCGTAGTATCTGTTAATCTTGTCTGTTAATCAGATTAACAGATTGGTTGTAAATATTGGTTTTATGCTGAAAACAATAAATAACTGTAGTGATCACTTGTAACCATGGAAATAGTATTTTAGATTTTTGTGGTCTGGCCTAGCTGAGGTGAAAGTGGTGACAGTGGAAAAGTGGCTCTTCAGTTACAAATTGAAATCTGAAGCCGTTTTTTCTTCACTTCACTAAAACGTCTTCAAATCTTTACACAAAAGACACTGTGTTGAAACAAAGTAGTGATGCTGGGCATCATTAAAAGTGTGTTTCCTTTGAAATTTCTGTGAGAACAGATATCTCTTATTTATGGTATAATATTAATATAATATATAATAATATTAATAGTACTAATATTATTAGTATATTGAAGATAGTAATTGGTAATGAGAATAAATTAAATTTAATTACTTCAACATGTTGATATACCAGAGTTGCAATCATTCACCTTTTTGTTCAGAGGATTGGGAATTCCAGTACATAGCTTAAGACCGGGATTACGTGTAATTAGTGTTAATGCTAATTGCATTACAGGCTCCATTAAGTCCAAGCACTCATTCTCTTTAGTGAATGCACTCTAAAATAGAGTTTTTGGTGTGGGTTAATCTCCTGTTAGAGAAAGGTATGTTAGAGATGTATTCACTAATCCAAGAGAAATATATCCACTTATTTTAAAAAGCAGAAAGTGTCCAGCTCCATCTCATACATCTCATACATTTTTCTTAATGATCTGGTGGACAATTATAAGCAGTTAAGAAGACTCACAAAATAATTAGTAATCTAACAGAAGATTGCAATGTACTATGAAGCAGTGTGGTTGGGGACCTTGAAGCTAAAGGTTATTTTATTTTAGCTGTATTATCAAATTGTGGTGCATGCAAGATGCACTAGAAGAGTGTTCTAAGCACAATTGTATTGTAGTTAACAAAGGACTAGAAAGTTTTATATGAACAAATGAAAAACGGGGGAAAAAAACTCTATTGCAGAGAAGCCAAGAAAGTGGGATTTTGGCTGCTGGTGAAATATAAGTACTGTGAATGCTGACTACCATAATATAGGATTTATGGCAAATAAAGTCCTACAGTATTTTTCCCTACCAAAAAGAGAGGGAGGTGGTAGGAAGAACCCCTAAAGAAACTGTGGATTTCTTCTTACAAGTCTTCTTCTGAAGTTTTTAATTACTTTCTGGTGTGATCAACATTTCAATGTGGACATAAAGGAATACTAAGAAAGAAATGGTGCTGCTTTTTTTGAGAGAGATGCCTTTAGCAGACGACAGTTCCAAAACACACAGGAAAGTTCTGGGTTCACAAATTCAGTTTCCAGGTGTCATTGCTCTAAGAAATAATAAAGAAATCACAGTATGTATATCAATAGCATGCAGATAATTGCACTGATGATAACTTAGTTAAGCATGTTTTGAGATTACATATTATTTTTTTGATGCCACAGTGTGGAGTTTTAGCCTCAGTGTTGGGCCTGTTTCATTTGCTGAACTGTAACGGGGAATGGTGGGGTGATTCAATGATTCAGATTCATTTTCCATCCTTCTTATAGGTGGTGCCAGCCTGTTGCCTTCTACTGCCTTGATCTGAAAGTTTGTGTTCTTAGAGCTGAGCATAGACAGGATTTTTCAAATTATTCTTCTCTCTTCAATAGTTCTTTCTCAGATCACTTACTTTTCCTGGCAGTTTGTTACTCAGAGTCATGAAAAAGCATGATATTGACAAACCGTGAATAACAAAAAACATGCAAAGTGTCATACCAGGTTTGCTCTGGATCTTGAGTATAATAAATTAATTTAAATCATGATTCAGTCCCAAGCAGAAAAAATTACAAGTAAAATTAATATAATTGACATCAGCTAGGTTTGACCTTTCACGTGATCCACATAAGTTTTTGGAGCTTTGTCCAGTAATGCAATATACCATGTGTTTTGCTGCTGCCTTTATTGGATGGTATTGAAAGAAGCATCCAAGCAGCAGTTCTTCTTCTGTCCAGCTTCTCCTTAGGTGTTAGTACACTAGGAAAAAAGTAATTTTCAAGTCTGAATCAGCACAGTACTTAGTTTTTAATGACGTCTTTAGCATCTGAGTGGAGACCATTCATTTGAGCTGAGGGTTGCTATCTATGTACCAGTCTTCTAATGGAAATCCCTCCATGTAGCACTGACTTATGGGCATAGATGTTACACTGTTTTCAGTGGCTTGCCCTGGTAGCTGTAAAATAACATGTTCTGTAAGACTTAGTAGCCTTTTCAAATGCAGGGTGGGGGGTAATCTATACTGTCTAAAAGTTGGGCCTTCGTGTGCCCTATGTAAAGGACACAAAATCACTTTGCTTGAATTAAAAGTTTGATGTCTGCAGTGCAGTTCACAAAAAAGTTTCTCAATAGACTGCCTTACCTACTGCTTGCTTTAAACTCTTCGAGAAAATACTTGTCTTCTGGTGCCATCTGGTGGCTTTAGGAGAGAGCGAGAGAGGTAGTCTGAGAATTGCCATTAAAATCTCATATTTTCCTGGAAGTTCTTATTTTAAACAACTGGTGTCCTAACAGTTGATGTATTTATCCAAATGCGAGTGGCAGGAAACCATATATAAAAGAATTGCATACAGCTGGATCTTAGGAAATATTAGCAAGAAAAGTACTCCATTTGGGCTTTAGCATGGTAGAAATCCTTGCAGGCAGCTATTTCACAACTTCCAGTGAGTGGTGTGAGCTTGGGTCCAGGTTGTGCATATGTTTGTATGTGCGTGTACGCATGCAAAAGTTAGCAGGAGTGGTACCTTAGAGCATGATCTCTGTAGATGCTTCAGCTTCTTATTTAGGTATCCCTCCAATTGCTGCACTTTGCATCTGCCAGAGTGATTGCCTGTAATCCTATTGAATAACTTAATGAGACATACAGAATTAGAATGTTCTGATTTGGAAGGGACCCACAAGGATCATCAAGTCCAACTCTTAGGTGAATTGTCCATAAATGAATTGAACCTGCAACATTGACATTATTAGCACCATGCTCCAACCAAGCAGTATGGAATGTCTTTCTGTGCAGACTTTCTACACGTAGTTGGGGTTTTTTTTTGGTGCTGAAAGGCATCTCATAACATCTCCTATGCATTTAGATATTCTAAAATACCTTTCTTAGTTGCAGAACCTGAGATTACCAATCACACAAATTTTACAATCAGCAGCACTCGTGGTATAATGCAGTTTGCACAAGTGGGACTAAAACACAGCATCTCTAGGCCCCTGTGGAAAGCTGTGTAGTTCCACATGGAGCCAGGCAAAGGGTCACAACCTTGGGGATGTTTGATAATTTTCACTGACTACCTGCTTTTTTTGGAGGGAAGGAGTCTATGACAAGATTGGTGGATCTTGATATCAGTGAGGTGACCTGGTTTCTTTATCAATTTTCTGAAGTGTTGTCACCATTGCTGTAGACTTAGGTCCTGAAATACTTGATTTTTTTTATCTTTAAAAGGTAAATAATTATACTTACTGTTCTTTGGAGAAACTTGATGAAAGGCCTCCTTATTATTAAAATTTAATCGGAATTCTGTAATATGCAAGATGCTCAATGTATATATATACTATGTCAAAATGTTTGATTTTATTTGCTTTTGTTTTGTGATAGGTGTGTATTTTTCATTGTCCTTAAATCCAAACAGAGTAAGGGATAATGAAGAAAAAATAACTTCCATGTCTGCACACAGCACTGTGTCACAGAAATATTTATTGTTGCACTTCTTCATAGTTGCTGTTATATGAAAGAGGCTGGATGAATAGATGGAAGCCTTCGGTTTTACATGAAGGGGAAGGAAATATCAGAAATGTAAAATGGAGAGGGCACTTAATTGCTTGGGCTAATAATATGGTAAGTATTTTTCACCTCCATTAAATGAACAAAAATATCTGTGTTACGCTGAATTTTTCCAATGCTAATTGCCAGAATATTCAGCTAAAAAACTGTGCATTTGTAGAAGTGGGTATAAAGGGTATTGAAAGATAGTGGTTTATATGTCATTTCTTTGTAGAAATTTCTTCTGTTGTTTCCTGCTGGTTAGTCAGGGTTCTCCAATGTGATTGCCACTTCTGAAGAAATTAGGAAAGTAGCTCTACATACCACTGTGGCGGTCACTAATGTACACTATTATTAATTAGAATTTTGATTAGTGCAGTTTATTGAAGCAAACTGAGGAAGGAATGCCAATATAATTCTTCTCTATATAAGTAATAGAACATCTCCACTCCCACCCCCTGAAAAAGAAATAAACTCTGGATTTTTTAATTTGTGGTGAAATGACATTGTCGTATGCACTTTCAATGTTGCAGATTATTAAAAAAATACAATAATACTTTCTCATTTTTTTAGGCCACTAGAAAAAAATAGAAGGAGATAAGTCCCTTTTGTTCTAAGTGTAGTTTTAAAGGAAACCATTGCATTCATTCAGAGTGTTATATTTCACCTATCACTATATATCTGATTGATGGGTCAAGCTCTGTGTTTTGAAGCTCAGCAGTGAGGAATATGTTTTTAAGTATGTATCATGTGTAAATTCCAAAGTATTTTTTTTATGTGGTGAAAGTACTTCTGAAACACTAGCGCTTTTTTCTTCTTTTGTTTTTCCATCCTAAAGGGAGGAATTAATTAACATATTTTAAACCATTGTTCTTTTTTATCTTTCAAAACCAGTTTGATATGAAATTGTTAGAGGTGGACCTTTGTTTGCTTCCCTTTAATAGCTCTATTAAAATGGAAGCTTCATTGAGGACTTAATTGACATAACATAAGGTTTTTTGAAGGTTTTATTCTTTTCAGATCCATACAATTAAAATACATATTCTAGGTATCTGATGGGATGGATAGGACGAGAGCTAGAGACGATGTGCCACATCAGAACACAGAATACTAATAAAACACTGAGAGCCATCTGTCAGAGACAAAAAGCCATGGTCAGGGCCTATCTTTCAAAGAAAAATGAAATGACACTTGGCCTCCAAAAGATTAATATATTTGGTTATTGCCCTTTCCCTTCCCCTTTAACTTTTTAAACTCCATTCTCTAGCAAAGTTTTGTGTTACACTTCTGTTTTCCAAATCAGAGAAAATGTTTACAGCCTTGCTTCTTAGTGTGTGTGCATGGCTACCTAGTTTTTATATTTAGGCGAGGTCTAATTCTGCTTTTAAGATGCGTAGGTAACCCATGTTGGCTGCTATTCTCTTCTCCTTCCTACTTGCTAGTAGTGCAAGTTTTACAAACTGAAACATCTGGGGGACAGATCCTTAGAGGTAGTTTAGTTGGCTGCTGGACTCCAATTTGGACAGGTTTTAGGTCCTTCATAACAGTAAGTTGCGTGCAGAAGTCCTTTCAGTTCATGACGTAAATGGCATGCCGGCTAGAGGAGAAGCCACTGCTCAAGCATTCTCACACCATTCAAGGAGTCACATACACACCACCCCAGGTTTTAACTTCAAGGACTAGGATCCTTTTACAATGGGCAGCTCCAAAGAGCCAACAGAAGTCTTTTTGACTCCTTACTCACTTCTTGTGCACCTGTTGACAGGCAGAGCATAGGAAATTACATAGCAACAACTAAAACATCAGTGAGTCATCAACATTATTCTTACAGTAAATCTATAACTCCGCACTGTACCAGCTACTAAGAAGAAAATGAATTAATAATTAATTACTAGCCAAAAGCATGTCTAGGTATAAGTTCACAGCTTACAGCCTAAGACTTCAAAAAAATCCAGCTACTCATGCTAAGCAAACAGCATACTATATCACACGATATTATAACTCTAAAATAACTTACTCTTGCGTAAAACTTATTATATTAAACAACTGTCTCTCAACACTTAAACCAAATGGATCCTATACTGTTAGTTTGAAAGCCACTTTAAACAGGAGCTGGTGTGTCCCATATAAGATTTGCTGCCATGTAGAAAAACAGAAGGTGTGATATAAGTCACTGAAAATCCTCCTTGGAGACAAAGTAGTAAGATTTATAAAAAGCAACTTTATTAAAATGCAATTCAAGCAAGGTTAAAAATTTGATCAGATGAGCTTAGAAAACACAAAGGATTAGATCCTTGTTTATGTTACCTAGAGATCTGGGATCTGTGCATTGCAGATGTTGTGTGTAAGTTGTTTGTTTGTTTTTGAAACCTTGATGTCTGCTAGCTGATGAGGTGCCAGTAGAAATGTGTTCCATGCTCACAGTTCTTCAGTGGCAAAGATTACTGAAAAAAAATCCCGTCACCCACCCCCATACAACTATCTGTTCCTTGTGATTAAAAAAAAAAATCCTGCAAAACCTGGCCTAGACCATGACCCCCCCAAGACTTTTAAACAGTTGTATCTGTCTATTTGTACAGCTGGGGACATAGAAACTCACAGTGCGGGGAGCAGAAATAGGCAGGTAAATCTTTTAAATCAGTTTGGCTACTAGAAATACCAAACATGGCATGGCATGATGGATGCTGACCTTTCAAGGTCTTTTTCATCCCCTTTTCTGTGATTTGAAGACTCACTCTCTAAACAAAGAAGTCCCTACTAAAATATTTTATTTTAGAGACTTTTGTTTTAAATTACCAAGAACAAGTCATTACTTAACATGAAATTAATCTACATTTTGCTATTGGAAAGTTTATAGCTTACCTTGTCTAAACAACACAGGAAAATCTAATTATTGGTTCTTCTTTTCCTCTGTCTCTTGAACAACTTTAATCTTCCTGGTTTTTAGCTTCTTGTTCTATTACTTTAGAGATTTCCCAAAGAGGGAGTGAAAAATCACAGCATAGAAAACCAAGCATTGTTTAAAGATGCTTGCTTTTCTGTTTAAATATAAGAGTAGAAATGCATATCTTGAGATTAATTTATCTTAATAAACTGTTGTTTTTCTTTTTCCAAGGTGGAAATTTCTGTGTCTCTCAGGGACTGTTGTGAAAAAGCTGGGATTCTTTTTATTTCTCCAGGAGTAGCACCAGCCCAATAAGCCAAACTGGTTCATGACTGGAATTACTAGTCTGTCACTCATTCACTTATTATGTCTTTTAATTTGGCATGTGAATTTAAAACATCTAAATTACTCTGATCCCTTTACTCCTTTTGTCACCTCCTGGGTTAGATGGGTTTTTGTATCAGCAGTTTTTTTCTGGTGGCATACTCAACCCTGCTCTGAAATTTATTCTATAAACCACTCTGACTGCCTTAGTGTACAAAATGGGCAGTAGGAGTTTGTCATACTGAATAAAGTTCTCTTGTTTTTAAACTTTCAGGGCGTGAAGATACTTGACATGATCTCCAAGCAAAGAATTACTAATGTGCCTCGAGATGACATAAGCCTTCGCCCAGATATGTATCCCTGCAGCCTTTGCTGGAAGGATAATTTAACGCTGATTATTGGCTGGGGAAATTCAGTAAAGGTGCAATTACCTGTCTTTATAATAAATGCTTGCTGTTATCACAAGACAAACAGAGGTTTTTTCTGAAAAGTAAAGACAATCGAAAAAAATAGAATTTGGTTTGACCAGTGTTCAGAACACTCGCTGCCTTAGAAATGTCATTGGACTGACCCTCATGAGGAGGAGGAGTGATAGGCACCCAGCAGCCAGACAGATCTCTGTGTGAGAGCATGCAGTGAATGTAATCCTCAGGGACATTTCATTCCTCTGTGCCTTGGAGAGATTTCGTCTCTTGAAAGCTTTTAGCATACTGTTGAATTCATTTCTTTTGATTAGCATTAAGGAAGAACAACTTACCATGAGGTATTTTTGGAGGGGATTGCTTTGGGGCCTGAGGAGGTTGCAGCTACTAAAACAGCCACATGATTTTGGTCAGAAAAAAAAAAAAAAAAAAGTGTGGGTGGAAGGACAGACTGCTTAGGGTTTTGTTATCTTTCAACAGGAAACTGGCATTTCAAACTTGTGTGGTGCAGACTGATTGTAATTTGCTCAGACCGGCACCTGACATGAGTTTGTTACAAGCCTGTTAGCTGTTTCCTAATAACAGACTACTGCATCACTGCACAGTGGGAAATTAAAAGTGCCTGATAGAAATAGATGGAAAGGGAGGGTAAAGTGAGTTAGGTGACATGTAAAAAGCTTTTGGAGCATTAAGCTTAGAGTTTTATTAATGAGGAGATTTGTCCTAAGGTTGGCATCTGCCTTCCCCTTGCTATTTGTGTGTGCTTCACAACATTTGGTTATTTGCATTTCTTTGTATGTACATACTCTTCTCCTGTAACTGGCAGGAGCAATAGCAAACTTACTGAATAAAAATCAGGTGCCTTGAAAGGTAATGAGATGCAAAGTGTGAGAAGACACCAAAACCAAATTCATATATAAATGCTTCTATGAAGAAACCATAGTGGGCACGTATTTTCACATTTCTCTTATGTGGTCCTTTTCTCTCCCAGCATATTTATAAGGCTGTGAGCTACAGCCACAACTTTTCTGTGTGCTTTTCTTTACTGAGGCACCATTACTGTTTCACAACTTGTGTTTTTCAAAATAAAGAAATCCATGTCCGAGAATTCCCAGAAATTCCTTTTCTTATTGAGGCAAAGCTAGTATTGTCTTAGGAACTACGGTTTCTTTATTGTAACAATTCAAATCTCTGTTTCCTAGATTTGCTCAGTAAAAGAACGTCATGCCAGTGAAATGCGTGACCTACCGAACCGCTACGTGGAAATAGGTATGGTTGTATGAATGCACCCCTTTTCAAAAAGCTCTAAAGGTCTTTTACATCCTAGCCAGAACTAAACCGTTACACTTTGAAGGCAACATGTAGTTGTAACATAAATGTCGCCAGCATTTTTAGCTGCTGAGGTTGTCATAATGCCCTATGCCGTGCATAGGTGTGAGGATATTTTTTATAGAGAGCGTTAAGTTCTGTGATCATCTAAAATGAGACATACTTGTGTGAACAATGGATGCCTTAACTTTCCCTTCACACAGATTCCTTTAGAGAACTTGAGTTTTCATCTTGCTTAAATGATTGATGGTCAGTGTAGTAGTAAAGAGAAAACAGATATTACTTTATTTGATTACATGTTGTTTGACTACGCTACTCATAACATTTTGCTCTTCCCCCACCCCCCCCTATAAAATCTCTGGTGTAGTGCTAAGAAACTGATTTTAATTTATTTTTGTTTCCTTTCTTGACTTCTGAATTTTCTATTTTCATTTGCTTTCTTATTTTTCTATCTAATCTGATATGAATAAATTTTTATTATTGCTGATTAGTGGAAAAGTTCTTGACAAAATGTGTGTATTAAGTAAAGCAGAATTCAAAGAAAATTTGTAAGGGAAGTGGGGATGTAAACAAAAAGTCACAGCTGTCCCCAGAAGTATCTAGTGGAGAAAGGAAGTATCTGGGAATAGATAGTACCAGGAAAATAAACAATCCCTCTTACTCTGCAGACCAGAGTGGGCTACAGTGTGTAAGCTTTGATGCTTCCTTGATTGTAGTAACATGAGATTGTAGATAGGGTGTTCAAGCAAGATCCTGAATCATGTCAGCTTGGAATGGTGCATGGCATAGGTGTGTATGTATGCTCTGTTTTCTGATTTCAGGGAAGGACTGTTCTAAAATAGCTTCTGAAAATCAACTAGGAGACTTGTTAAGCTCTGCAGGAAATCTAGACAATGAGACATTGGTGGTGTGCCTGAGAATTAACTGAGACCTGAAAGCTATTGGTTGTTTAGGATTACACAGTCCAGATAGACTATTTAACTGCAGAATCCTAGGCTATTTGCAATAATTTTATCAAGGAAAAGTTTTGTCATGAGTTTTAGCCTCAGATTTTGTATATAATATTTTCTGTACTGTTAAATAGCTTTTGGAAAATAGCTAAATGGGTTTGGTCACATACTGACAAGTGAACAGAGGTAACTTCTATTTCAGCTGTAATGTCTTTATATGGATGGTACTAGTCTTAGGTGACTGTCTATTGGAACTTGATTTTAAAAACATAAAAAGCTGTCATTGGGCTATTTAGGTGCAGACATGAAGGATAAAGATTTTTGTGGAAGTAACTTTTTCGTCTTAAAATTTCTGGCCTGTGGTTTTCTCTGTATTCTAGAAAACAGGTATTTTATCTCACTTAACCTGTTAATGATGTGCTTGAGATTTTATTTTCTGGTTTCAGGTCAAAGCACTGAAATTGCTCTGCCAAATGCTGTCCACAATACTTTAGAACTTGGGAGGATTGGGAGGGAAAAGAGAGAGAGACATTGTTTGTTTAAGTCTCAGTATAAATTAATAGTCTTTCATATAGTCACATAGAAGGTCTTCTTGACTTCAGTATGTAATGCCATAACATCTATTTCAATTTTATTTCAGCATTCCTCTTCAAAGGCATAGCTGGAAGGTCTGATTTTATGTAAGACCTGCAACCAGTATAGTTTTTTTGCAAGACCACTAATATCCAAAGTGGATGCATAAGTTGATGTACTTGCATAAAGTAAAGAATTATACAAGGCAAGAATATCATCCTTTAATTCAAGGATAACTGAGTATCCTTCAGATATTTTGACTCAAAATATTTTGTCAACAGATTTACAAAAAATGAAGCCCTTAACACAGTATTACTTTTGTCAGGTTAAGTGGTATGGTGTTTTTAAATTTTTTTCTCCCTGCTTTTACAATTTTTCACTTGGAAAGAAACCAATAGTGTAGCAGGAAACTTCATGGTTGCATCTTTGGTCAGCACAGTAATACATATGGAGTCTATGATAAAACAGTGTTTTGTCATGTGCCAACAGTTTTGGGTTTATGCTGTATTAGAGCCATTCTGAGGTCCCCTAAGTTCCATGGTGGTATCATCACTAATGTGATGGCATTAATAGATAATAAATGTTTCTTCAGTACTTTGCAGTACAGTGAATAAGGAAACAGTATTTCCTTCATTGCAAGTTAGGTGCATTAGGATCCTGTTTAACAGTGTACCTCCTCATCTTCTGTTTCTATCCCAAGAATTAGCTATATTTATTCTAAGGTGGGAAATAATTCCAGTATCTGCTGTGATGCTAAAACCCTTCTTGTGAGAAAGTTACACCACTGAACTGTTCTAGCTCTTTTACCTTAATGCTGTGATTACCTGTAAGAGAAAATAGATGAATTATACAGGTCTCATGCACTGAGATCCATGTGGCATTGCTAATTTTATTTACATCTTCCAGTATATTAGTAGTTCTTTTCTTCAGTAATCTTGCCATTTTTTTTGCTACAGTTCATTACCTCTGTGAGTCTTCATTCAGTGTCAGAGATAAACTCCAAGTGAGTGTTTCTATTTAGGTTTAAATGTATGTTAGCTGAGCAGATCCTATCAGTTTAGCTCTGTTAGCTACTGCTGTGAAACAGTGTATTGATTAGAAAGTATTGGTATTGAATTACAGGCTTAACGTGGACTAAATGCCATTGTGATCTTTCTTAAAGAGTGCTTGACCTCTGTGCTCACTCCTGAAGCATGTACAAAAGATATAATGCTGCACAGCATCTGGTCTGAACAGGGAATCCTTCCTCAGCTGGAACCCATGAGAAGGCTGGTTGCTAAATAATTAGATTTTTCAGTTAATATGATGCCTTTTCAAAGGAAAATAGGTAATCTAGTCTTCCTTGGCCTTATCAGGATTGCATATACTTTTATGGAGAAGTACCTTATCTCTTCCTCAGTTACACAGCTTGTTAATGATAGCAGAAAATAGAGATTAACACCGGAAGTATGTAAAATACTTCAAGCTGATTAGAGAATTTTTATTCAATTATTTTTTGTCCAGATTTTATCTGAGGAATCTCAGCTTAATTCTGGGTACAAGCCAGGCTCCAATGCTTCTTGAATACTTGTCTCCCTTTGCATTCTACCAAATTTCCAGTAAGGCAGATTTTTGGTTTAAAATTACATGTTTCAACAACAAACACAAATACGTTTGTAACAACACATTGTGTTTTACAAAGGAGTAGCTTCACACCTGCATAGCAAGTTAGCATCATGCATTGAGATTGCACATTTCAATCTGAATACATGGGAATATTTATTTTCTTGTTTGTAAAGTGAAATTAATGGAATCTAGTATACCAACATAATTCTCTTTATATAGATAGAATGTAAGGCTTAATTGATTAATTAATAATTAATTAATTAAGGCTTAATTAATAATGAATATGATGATCAGGAAGTTTACTTCATAAGGTGATTTATGCAAACATTTTATTTAAGCAAGTCTGCTGTACTCGGAGAAGCCAAAAACAAAAGAAAAAACCCAAACCTTGTTACATAGTTATTTGTTTTGCCACAAGTTAAACCTATAGTTTATAAATTTCTTCATAAAATGATTCAAAGTGCTTCAAGATTTTGACTTCTTTGTCATCAAATCTCAGAGTTGCTAAGCCCCAGAGTTCTTCAAGACTGAATATTTTCCCTATTGATTAACAATGTTTTCTTGATTCAGTGGGAAAAAAGAGTTTTTCAGAAAATCAGCTTTGAAGCTTAACTGATACTTACTTTTCTTGTCCTCTGTAACTGAAATCACATACTGTCAAAAAAAAAGTTTACATTTTGCATCAAGTGCAACTCCATGCACAAGATAATAGCTAATCATAGCATGCCATTTGTATTCTGTTTTGGTTTGCATAAATTGCCTAGCACATAAAACCATATGCAAAATTTGTATTCACTGTTTTAGGTTACAGTGCAGCAAACTCTTAAGTGTTCTCAAGGTGGTATCTCCACCACCTGTGTTTTTAGTTTAAATCCAAGGTAAAACCTTCTGACTGTAACCGAAGTTTTACTCCTTGAAATCTGCTGTGGTAAAGTAGGGGCTGCTTTTAGAGGTTTCACTAAACAAAATAGGCTCATTTTAGTTTTAGTTTTAGTATCACATTATGTGTGTATCTTTAAATCCCAGAGAGAGTGACTTTATACAGTTTAGGTAAATAATGTAGCATATATTGTTTCATTTCTGTAGTTTGGTGTATTTCATACATTTCATTTAATGAGCAGCAAAAAAGATGTACAGGTTTCTTCATTTTGCCTCCTGGTAATTTGTTTGACATCTGTATATAGATGCTGAACATGGAGTAGATCCACTGTCAGCCTCTCTTCTATCTTCTCTTATGACAGGCATAAACATGTATGACACATGGCCATACCTCAGTCATTTCCATTTACTTCAATACCACATTTGTTTTAATTATTTTGGGTGCTTTTTGAATTAACAGCATTTCTCCATTGCCTTTATGTTGGATTTCTTTTCCTCCTTGATCACAACACAGTGTACAGAGAGTAAGTCAAATTAACCTATTATTGTTCTGTGCAGCTATAACTTACATCTTCTTTTTTCAGTAAGACTTTTTTGATTAGCAGCATCAAAGGTTTTTATCAGGTCAAGAAGCACTGTCTATGCCAGTTATTCTTTGTTCAAGGCTGTAGCAGCAGAGATGGAGCATTGTGTTTCAACAACGCCTCTTGAGAAAGATGAGCTGAGAGAAAGCTGATAGCAAAACCAAGGAAACTAAACTATTCAGAAACAAAACTTGAAGTGATGATTTTTATTTGTTTATTTTTGTTTCAAAGATCAATACTTCTGCTAGATCTGAAACTCACCATTACATTGGGCGTTACAAGCACTTTCACTGGCAAAGGGGCTAAAGTTCTAGTGTACGACAAAGAAACACACATAGATTTTAAAGCCGTCTCTATAATCATTATAAATGATAATTCACCCTATGCTATTTTCCTCTTCAAATACAAACTACAGTATTTTACATGCCTTTAAGAGCCTTCTCTTGGCCCTTCTATGAAGCTGAATTTAAAGTTTCTTTGACAGTATTACGGATTTCACTTAAGGGTTTTTTTTTTATATTTTTCCTCCTGCCTTCCATATTATTTTAAAATGCCAAATACTAAATTGTAAACTGGAAATAAAATATGTAGTTGGTTTTGAACTGATTTGTTTAAAATCATCGCTGAAAGCAACACATGACACAGTCAAAGTAATCTCATGATTTTTGTAGGTTAGAACAAAATAATTATGTACGTGGTTACAAATGTGAACCTCTTCTCTGTGAATGGATTGAGTGCTCTACTCCTGTGTTGTAGCATGGTCCTTCAATGATGCCAAAGTGTCAGCAGTCATTAAAAGAAAAACAGTGCTTGCTTATTCATTGAGAGACAGGTGTCAAATATATACTCTGTTTCATTGTATTTTTCTCCCTTTGTGGGAGGACAATTATTTCTCCTGTTCTTTCTTATTATCTTAAGCTAAAGAAAATAAGCTTTATTTATAATGTCATGATGCTGTATTTTCTGTTAGCTAAAATAATTAGTAAATTTTAGTAAATATATGTATATTAGTAGTGTAATATGCTAAACAGTAAGGAAGGAAACTCTTTGTTACCTACTTATGCTTAGATTCTCCTAAAACCATGTTTTGGGAGAAAATAATGAAGTATCTGATGCTTTTTTAAAAGTTTGTAGTTACAGGGCTTGCTAATGTAAACACTTGGATGGTTCTTGTTTTGGTCCCCATAAGAGAGGAGCTCTCAAAAAAGAGGTGCATTGTAAATCCACCAGAATAAAAATAAATAGCTGTTTCTGTGGCAGACATCTCATTTATTAAGTCTTTTCCTAAATACAGTTCAGCACTCTGTTTTTCTTTCTCTTTCTTGAAACAATCTCATGTAACTGTCTCGATTTCAAGACCAATTTTAGAAAATTATGTTTTCAGTTTTATGAAGAAGAAAAGATACTATGAATGGTGTTTTCTTTGTAATAAGTGTATCTTTAGATTATTCTGTGATGTTTAAAGTGATGATAAATAATGATCTTTGTGTTTTTCCATATACCAATAGATGTAGCAAGTGTGGGTCTCTTATGGCCACACGAACTTGCTGTGAATATGCAAACCAATGAAGTTGTACTACTTATTGTGTTTTCTTGAGTTTGACTTTTGTTTTGCTTCCTTTTTTAATGTGATTATTGAAAATCAGACTGGCGCCTTCATTTCAAATGTTTAATCTCTAACACATCCAGGAGCACAAACATCTCTTTTTGCTAGCTTTAATGTAATGTAATCTGCTAATGTAGATTTTCATCTGATCCAAGTGGGAAATCTCTGGGTTTGTTATATGTGTTGAGTCTTCAGTTCTCTGAAGGGGTACTGTATGCTGTTGATTGTCTCTGAAAATCAGTGAGTTTTTCTCAGGTGTTAGTTCACACACAATCATGTTTTTAAGTCTATTTTCCTTTCCTGTATTTCAGTTTTCCAATTTGAGACTGAATTCTACATCAGTGGACTTGCACCTATCTGTGACCAGCTTGTTATACTTTCATATGTGAAGGAGATCTCCGAAAAAACGGTAGTTTTTTTAATCTGAGTTTCTTCACATTAATTTGGCCTGTGAGCTGGGCCTTAAACTAGTCATACAAATGTGATTATCTGAGAAAAAATTTTTAGTCTGCTGGTAGTGAATAGTGCTTGAAATGTCTCTGATCCATAAAACAAGGTCAGTGGAGGTGATGTTGAAGACTAATGTGCTTACCTTTCAGAAATCATGTTTGGGTTCCTTTTATTCTTGCAGAACGCAGAGAGGGTCTCTAGCTAGCTCTTCTTGCTCCTTTTTTCTTCCTTTCTTACCCTCCCTGCCTTTTTCTCTCCTATTCTTTCTTTCTTCCTGATGTTTCTGCACCAGAAGAAATAAAGAATCTTGTTTAGCCATAAGAGGAGCTTGCTGACACTGCATCTCAAAAGAAATGAGAGTAGTGAAGTTGATCAACTCAAGCAATAAAAGTCACTGTGGGGTGGAATGAATGATTGTGAGCGAGTGGCATCATTGTCTCCCTTTCTTCTAAGATCTTTAGTTATGTACATCCAGATCCATGTGTAGATAGGTAGAAATTAGAATTCATGTCAGCCGTTTTTACTGTGCATGGACAGACGTCGTGTCTGTCTCCGACATTGATTTCATATTGCCAAATAAAAGGCAAGGCAGTGGAGGAAATCCTTGAAGCTGCAGTGTGAGGACGGCAGATGCTCTTGATCATCTCTTTGATAAGCATGTCTGTGTTAGACAACCATCACCATAGTAACCTTAAGAAACTGGGTGCACAAGTTGCTAGGCAATGAAATGCTGTAGGTTCGAACAAATGCTTGAGCCTTCTGAAATCAGTGGGGTTAGCTCCTAGTTCTGCATCAGGATGCCAGATTATTATTTCTTTATTTATATTAAGGATAAGAATAATGTCACAGCAATGTTTCCCAAAGGAGTCAGCACAGTAGTCCTCCAGTGCAGCAGAGTCAGTGAAAGACAAGAAAGCAAACAAATGTGATAAGGAAGGGGGAGGAAAAGGTGGGTTGAAATGCTAGGGAGCAAGGAAATTGAGAAGCCACTGTTAATGAAAAAGTAGTACTGGAAAGGGGCTAGTGTAAACAAGGTAGTGACTGCTAAAGGTTAAAGTAATTTTAATTGCTTTAGGAAAGAAAGATGAAAAGGGAATTTCAGGTGATACAATGGTAATTGAACATCAAAAAAAGGTTTTTTCATGTATTTGCTTTTAATTAGCCTTTTAAACAAACTCCAAATGCTGGACTTCACTAACTTCTCAATTCTCTGGGTAGCTGTAGAAGGAACAGAAGTACAATCATCCCTGACACTGCACCTGTGTCCTATTGTGATGGGGAACTTCTTTGTTAGTGTTTTGCCTCACTTGTCTTGTTAGTGTGGAGTCCAAACTGCCTGAGCTTGCAGGAGAATTGCTGCTCACTACAAATGTCATTTAATTGCAAAGAACACTGGTCTTCTTATACTTGGTTTCACAGCTTGCAAATGACAGCTTCTTACTTATTACAAATTAGATCACAATTGAACTTGCTTTGAAAGTTTTTCTGGTTTGGTTGTTTGGGTTTTTTTCATGGAACAGTTAAATTGAGAAAAGACCCAAGTGGTGCTACTTCCAAATGGGTAGGTTAGAGCTGTTTAAATCCACTTTCTATATGTTCTGCTCTTTTATTTTGTATTTTGCTATAATTCACAGCCTGAAGTAGCAAATATAGGATTGTCTTGGACCTTGACTTAATTAAAAATGCAGCTAGTCGAAGACAGCAATTTCATTTGAACAGAAGGTGAAAATCCATGATGTCATCTTACCATAACTACCTACATTCAACTTGAAAGTTCATTTTACTCTAAGTTCATCAGAGCAGCAACGTTTTTGTATTACTATTAGATTAATTTACCCTGCTGCTGCTGGCTGCTTAAAATCAAACACCAGCTTAAAAAAAACAAATTAGTGTTAATACCAGAATATCATTGACTCATGGAGCTCTGTCCTTCAGGGCATGAGCCCAGCTGGCTATGGGTTATAAATTTTTCTGTTGCTTGTTGAATGAAGCAATTGATAGTCGTCTGTGATAGCTCTGAAAATTTCTGTGACCAAGAGCAGAAAAGCAGCAAGCAAGGGGTGGGATTGGACCTATGTCTTGTCTATACCTCCTCCTCCAGACTGATCTCTTCAAGGGAAGCAATCCAAGAGTAATTTTGGATTACTTGGAGTAACTTTCCTTTGAGTTCCAAATGCAATCATTCTGTGCAGTACAGCTTTGCAGCTTGTATGATTTGCAGCTGAGTACAGAGTACTTCAGTGCAGAGTACTGAATCTTTGTGAATGTTTGCAGCTGTTGAATTTCAGCCTTGTTTGTAGATGACCACCAATTGGTATTGCTAAGATAAATCATGTAAAAAGCAACTAAGATGCCATTTTTCTAGGAAGTGGAGTGTTGTGCAAGGCCTAGACTCGATATTGTACAACCCCTACCTGAGTCCTGTGAAGAGATCTCTTCTGATGCACTAACAGTACGAGGATTTCAGGAAAATGAATGTCGTGATTATCATTTAGGTAGGTGTTCTCAATATTGTTTTGTTTTGTTTTCATACCTTGCTTTAATAGCCTTCTTTTTCATTTTTGTCATTTTTTTTGTCATCTCCTTGAACAGCTGTAACTGCTTATGACACTGAATTGTAGACTGTAATCCACAAGAACCAGTCACATGAAAGAAAATAAGTGTGTGTATTTAAACATCATGATTTTTAACACTGTCTATTAGGTCAGACATACTGGAGAAGTCAGAAATATATATCTCATGTAATGTCCAGTATTGTGGAAGGCAATATTTTTGATGGAGATTTATTCAACATGTGATCCATAGGAATTCTTTTTACACAAAGGGCTTCAGGAATAATGAAATGAGTGGTACAATGTCTGGAAAAGCTGTTTTAGAGGGCAAGATTGAATAGGTTTCATTTCAACAATAGGAGGTACATTGGTCAACATAAGAGGGGCACACTGATATTTAGCTTCTCTGTACTGACAAAGCTGCCAGTTATATTACAGACCTCAAATGGTAAAATGGAATACATAGGAACTGGATTTTGGCAAGTTCCACCTAGAAGATAGGTTTAATTATGTAACAGGAAGGGATATTAAGCCCTGGCACAATATATGCCGTATTTTAAAGATGGGATAGTTTTATGATCTATATGTTGTAGCTCAGAAAAATGTATGGCAAAGCTGATACAGAATTCCTTGGTGAAGATTATGTGGCCTGTGCTATACAGAATCATTTCTTCTGGCTTTTAAAATCCATTAATCTGAATTTTAAGTATCTCCTCTGGCAGCATGCTTCAAATCATAGGCTTGGAAAACCTCTGTGTACATCTATGCCCTTAAGCCACTAGAAATATATCTCCTCCTGACCTCAAAAACATTGGTGCTGCTATCAGTAGAATTGGGGTTTCTTTATACTTCTTCCAAAGCAGAATACAGCTGTCCACAGCTGTACTTTTATGCTGTATGAATATTCTAGTTCACCTGAAAAATCTAAATGTTTTGCATGGCTTTAAGACAAGCATTATTTTGTGAATTGCTTATCACTTCAGGGGTGTATTTGTATGCGTGCATTGAAACTGATCTGGACCTACAAAGTACTGGTGTTTCTTCATGGTTCTGTCCAAATTATAACTATTCAGAATGGTCATCTTCTGCATTTGATTTTATCTTTTAGTAGTTTTTTTCTTTGAGCCTACTCAAAAATAAAGGCTTATGGTATAAGAAAATGCATTATACATATAGCCTTAACTTGCAGCATTGCAAATGCATTGCTGTAATGATGTGCTGTGTCCCCAGGGGTTATGGCATCTATCATTTATGCTTTTGATGGCCTTGACCTTGATGGGAAGGATAAGTTTATTGCAGGCTGTGTATTGTAATAGTCCTCTAAAAGTATAATAATGGGTTCTAAACCATCATAAAGTTTACACATAGTGGATGAATCAGAATTTGCAATAAGCTCTGGTGATTTTTTGAAAGATATTTTGCCATTTAAACCAGTTTTAATTTGTTGGAGAATACTGCTTCCAAACTAGTGTGTCCTGCAGGAGTAGCCTTGCTGTCTTCCTTGCATCCCCCCTTTGTAAATTTCCCCCAAGGGTGTACTAAAAAGTAGAACTTTACTTAAAGAAAATATAGTAATAATAAAACTGTGTATGCATTTGCAGAATATTCGGAAGGTGAATCACTTTTTTATATCATCAGCCCAAGAGATGTGGTTGTGGCTAAAGAGCGGGACCAAGATGATCACATTGACTGGCTTCTTGAAAAGAAGAAATACGAAGTAATTTTTATATCATTCTTTCCTTCAGACTTGCTTTGTTTGGGAATTGGAGTAGGATGATGGACTTTGCTAGGTCGTTTGGATTGGACGGTTCCTACAGTCATTGACTAAATGTTTGTAAAGGATGGCAGTTAACTATCTGTCCCCCCATCTCTTACAGAGTTAATCTCACTACTGAAACTACTAATCAGAATTTCACCCAAGTGAGGTAGCTGAATTAGATGCTGAAAATGTGGCTCTCGTCATCAGTTATGAAACGTGTTACCTGACGCTGAAAATTATGAAACTGGGTTTTGGCTTTAGAATAGCAGAAGAGTTAACCAGTGAGCTGTGCTTGTAAAAGTAAAATACTATGGGCTTGGACTGTGGTTGTGCATGCTGAAAGTAGTGTTGTTCACAAGAAAGCTGATCCAATATTAAAAGACAAGGATATACAGCTTTCTCAGAAAAAGAAACGGCTTAGCATTTGATTGTGTAAATATTGGTGTTTGAGTATGTATATCTAAACACTTAAAACAATAATAATAAATTTTACATACCATATCAACATACACACAGTGGTCTGAATCTTAATATCCTGCATTTATTGACTTAGAACATTTGTTATGATGCATAAAGTTAACTTGCAAATTCTTATTTATGTTTGTGGTGTGTCCATTATAAGGAAAAAAAAATGTGGAAAAACCATTCAGCATGTATTACTTTTGCTAATATAATCATGATATTTCTCATGCAGATTTGTTTAAATCCATGTGGATTCTTTTGCATTTGAATAGCAAACTTGTGTGATGAGTGCAGTTTTGCAGTGTATGTAAATCACAGCATTTGGTCTCTGAAGATTCGAGTAATTTGCAAGTGACAGCTGTGTGTGTGCCTTTATAAAATCCATTCAAGTTAGTAGACTGGCGTGTTACAATGTATATTAAAGGTTTCATTTTTATTTGTAAAAGTGCCAGCTTTTTTTCTGTACATTCGAAAAACATAGAAGAACAGCAAATGACACTTAAATATAAATCATTCTGACCAAAGAAGACATTTGGGCTGGGGAACTGGAAGGTAGCCTTTCCCCATTCACCCCTTTTCCTGTTGTTTTTTTTCACAGGTTTTGGTAGTGAAGTGGTCTCATTTGAAAATGATCAAATGTGATTGCATTGTGTGTTTTGTTCTAATCTTGTGATTTGATCCTAATATAATAATGTGGAGTGAACCCAGATGGAATCAAAAGTAGTTTTCTCTTTGCTTGACTGCTTTTGTTTGAGTATGAATTCAAAGCTGTTCATCCAACCATGGCATTAAAAATTTTAACTTCCAATGACCTACTCTGAAAAACAGTTGATTAATACAGTTCTAGAGCTTTCTGAAAGTATTTCTATTTGACTGTTTTCTCCTTTTTGAATATAGGAAGCTTTGATGGCAGCTGAGATCAGTCAGAAAACCATAAAAAAGCACAAGATTTTGGTAAGTCTCAAAACTTCTATCCAAAACAAAATATCTTCTTTCTTTTAGAGTGCTGTAAGATGCCACAAATAAATTCCCTGTTTTTTATAACACCAGGCAATAACTGTTAGGCGTACTCTAACTGGCATCTCATTTCTTGGTTTCAGCTGCAGAACAGGAGTGTTAGTGTGTGAAACAAGAAAGATCTGCATTTTATGAAGGTTCTATTTGCATTGAAAGGATGAGAATTCCATTTCTCTGATTGCTGATGGGGGTTTTGTTTGCTTTTACTTTTGTATTAAATTTACTGTTGTTTGAGGTAACACGCAGTATTGCACTATTAGGGATGCAGGCAGAAGTGACAAATTTCCCCTTAACTTATACCTTGTACATGTGACAGGGTTTTGTAGGGAGTTTTAAGAGATGCTCCTTTTCTCACATAGAGTTATTTCCCATGTTTACAGTCCCTTTCACAGAGCAACAAAGAGTATTGATGTTTAAAACAAAAGGTGGAATGGTGTAATAGATACAAAAGCAATACTAATTTTAGTTCTTGTTTGTTTGCCTTTGTTTAAATTCACTAATACTGATGTTGCTTTAAACTGAGATTTGTACAAAGTGTTTGAAGATGTGTTTAATTTTTTGCCCAGATAACTGATGTAATAAGCATGCTGTATATCAGTATGTCTGAAAAATCTTTTATTCTTATGTAGTCCAGAAGTTGAATCAAGATTTAAATGGCATGCCGTTACCTATCACAGAGTTTGTATTTAACAAAGCTGCTCTATGACCTTTGCAAAAGATGTGAAGAATAGTTAAAGGGGGTCCTGGCAATGCATTAGGAGGAAAAAAAGAAACCCAAACAAGCAAGCAATCACCAAACCAAATAAAAAATACCCCGCAACTTTTCTTTTGCTTTGCAGAAATTTGCTCTGCAATAAATGGTTAAATTCAGTGAAATACAAGCAGTTTTTGAGAATTTGGTCTCTAAAGCAAAAGCCAACAGAATATGCTGAGGAAACAAAATGTTGACATCAAGCCCTAAGTGAAGGATTAGTGGTACACTGATTTAAAACAACTTATGCTCTCACTGTTCAGTGACACCACACTCAGGGTACCTGACAAGTCTGGTAGCCTTGGAGATTTTTTTAGATGGCAGTAATTATCACTGCTCCTCTGCACCTCTTGAACAGAGCACAGAGATCCTAAACAACCAGATATACATCTTTTCTTTATCCATCTTCTCTGCTCACTGGGAAGCTGGTCCACAGGAGAATGTTGCATACCCCTGTTCATATTCTGCTATAGTCATTACTGTCCTTGATATTTATCAAAGAAATGTTGTGCCTCAGAAGATGTAAATGTTTATTTTTTCTAAGAAACAAGGACTGCTTTTTCATTGTACAGCTTCATTTTTTCTTTTATTCTCTTTTTTTTTTTTCTTTCAAGAAAGGGTGTGTTTTTTAGTTGTGACACTCTTAGGTTATGCAGTGAGTACACTGGGTTGTGTCAAAATAGACATGAGTGTTGAGATCATTAGGAGGCTCATGCCGGAATTTTAATATGTGTTAAATGCCTACCAGAAACATTTTAAAACTGACCTGTGTGATGAACTTTGAGAAAGGAAATTTAGTATGTAATAAATAATAATCTTGCTAAGTTCTCAGTAATTCCTGCGCTTTATTGAGCAGCACTAGGATTTATATTCTCAACCAACTTTTTGCCATCCTCTTCAGACTTCCTGTTGACAAAGAGCATGTCTTACACAATGACTGGTGATTTTCTTTTTGAACTAATTCAAGTACTGCAAGATCACCTATGTATTTCAAACAATCATTAATAATTAGCGGTGGTAGTCTTCTTAGCATCAGTGAGGTTATGAAATTTATTTAAAAGAGCACCTTCAGTTGAACCTGCAAGCAGTCTATGCAAGTATTTTGTATTGACTGTTCTGTGGGCCCTACTTGTAAAAGTGAATTAGGGCATGCACTTAGAGCTTTGATTTTCCAGCTGTATGCACTGCTGTTTTGGTAGTTCCTGCAGTAGTCAAGTAGTTCACTTCCAAACTTTTATAACTAATTCTCTGTTTTTATTCCCTCTAGGACATTGGCTTAGCCTATATAAATCACCTGGTGGAGAAAGGAGAGTATGACCTTGCTGCTCGGTAACCTCTTATTAAAGATCTTCTTTGCTGGCTAAAGAGTGTCTGTGTGGGGAAAAAGCAAAAAAACAAATTATTGATTCTGAAGTATTTGTGGATGTTGATTTCCTGTGTGTTCTGAAGTTTCTGAAGTTTCCAGACATAGAGGTTGCAGTGCCATATATTTTTTTGTCTATAGTGACTAAAAGTTACTGTAAACTTTAACTGGAATTGAGGCATATCTTTTTGAAAGTAAGCCTTGATTTTTCAGTCACACCAGATTTTCAAAACTAAGGTTTTCTTTGAATTTTGATAAACTCAGTTTATTAGTGTGTCATTGCACATAAGTCCATCAGAAAATAATTTGATTTTGCATAGGTATAAACAAAAATGTCAAATATGGGAGTCTGAAGTAAGGATCAGAAATTACCCAAGGTTTTTGTTTTCATGTACGTGTAAGTGTAAGCACATCTTTTTAAGTGTTCAGTTTTTCTCAGCTGAGATTTAAAAACTTCACTCTTAAAGCTGACCAAGAGAGTGGCATCTCTGCCCATGTTGTGTGGATTTCAACTAGATGATGTTTAAACTCTGTTCCAATCCAACCATTCTGTGGTTCTTTGGAAGCTCATATGGCCCTAATCAGTAAGGGTGAATGCATAATAAGCAGTTGGTCCTCTTGGATGGACAAAATTTTAAGGTTTGAAAGGAGGAAAACCTGGCATACTCTACTTAAAGCGGTGGTTGCCAAAGTCAGACACTTTTGCGAGTGTCATGATAGGGAGAAGAGGAAATGAATCCTTGTAATAATGCTGTCACATTTGTATTACTTTCTGTACCTACTTTTATTCTCATCTCTTTTATTTTCCTCCCAGAAAGTGCCAGAAAATCCTTGGCAAAAACACAGAACTCTGGGAATTTGAAGTTTACAAGTTTAAAGAAATAGGTCAGCTTAAAGTAAGTTAAATTCTGTGTCTGAACTCAAGTTATTTGTATGTTGTACTTACTGTTTGTATTGACCAAGTAAAGCATCACATTTAATGGCCCTGTTCTAGTATTGCTGCCTCAGATCTCTGTTTGTTCCTAGACAGCTGTCTTTCCAATTGATATATCATAAAACAAGATTGGAGGCATAATGCTACATATTTTACTTGTTGGCAGTCTCCATATGAAGGACCCACCCCCAAGGCTTTTGCTTGCAAAGATGCTCACAGTTAAATACATCTTTCCAATTTACTTCAAATTCATTTCCAGTATGTCCTAAAATTCCTACCCCAATTATTAAGGAAAGTAGACTCTGTGGGTGCCAGTCATTCTGGCAAATCCAGGTCTATTGTAACAGCTACACAACTTTAAGTGTCAAGGAATTGCAAAACAACAGTGAAGACCTGTGCTAGAAATGGTGGTGAGGAAGAGGAGCAGTCTGTGCTGTGTGGTGCCTTCCTTAGTCACAAGCCAGCGACAACAGTGCACATGTAATGTGAGAGTCTCAGTTAATAAATTGTGCAGGACATAAAGCCTCGTACTGTCACTGCTAAACCAATTGAAAACATTATGCACACTCCCTTTGGTAACATGTGTACATTTATGTCTGAATTTTATGTCTTCCTATTCAAACTCAATGAGCCAAAAAGGACATACTATTAAGATCTCACAGCATGCAGTCCTTTGCTGGTTTTGAGCTATTTAATTCTGTTCAAAGACCAAAAGTGTTTCAGCATTACAAATTTCAGAAATGTCTGACTTCTTTCAGAGCCACTCCAGTGCAAAAACAGCCTTGCCTTTAGTAAACCTTCTTTGTGGTTTGGTGCACTCTTTACTACTTTGGAAGATGAAATCCTATGTTTCTGTTTCTTTATTTCAGTCCAATAAAGGACTTGGATGCAGGTACAGATGAATTTTTGATAACACTGCTTCTTAGTCCTTCTGGGTTCATTTTGTTCTTTAGCTGCAAATGTCTGGAAGGGATGTTTGTCTTATTTCCACTTACATCATCCAGAAAATTGTAAAATATCAAAATATTTTCAGGTTTGTTGCAGAAACATCTTTGCTCAATTACCACCTTTCTAAATTGTTGGTTGTTTTTGGCTTTAGAATATCTTTTTTCTTCCTATAGCCAAGGCACAGGAATTCTCAGAAATACATGAGATGCACTCCATTACATTATTCAGCTTCAAATTGCAGTTCTAGAAAAGGCCTGCCTTATTTCACTATTTCAATTGCATATAACTTTCCCCATATTTCTAAAGATGCCTGAGTGTCATAAAGGATGGACTAAATTAAGCCAGATCTAAATGAAGGGGTCCTTGAAATGCTTGGGATCACTTGTGTGGAATTTTTACCTACTTACATGACTAACAGATATTAAACACCATATTGTTACTGGCCTATAATGGCTGTAAGCCCTGATGAGTAGACTATTTAAGATGTGGAAACAGAGTTCATTTCAAAGCAGAATTGTCTTGGAAGAATTTTCACTGCATGTAAGTAAGTTGTTGCCTGAAATCTGATATCTCAAATCTAGCATAATTTGCCAATAACTAAGGTGACAGTAAACTAAAGGCTTGAAATTTCCTTCCTGCACAGACAAATTAGTGATACCCCAGTGTCAAAGTCTATGGCATGAGTATTGTTTGTTTGCATGTGTTTTTAGGGGGGTTTTGAGTGTTCTGTAGTAAGCAGTCCTGTTTGGCTACCAAAGGTTGCATTTTAATATCTTGACGTCTCTCATCTTCAGTGAATGTCCTCTAGCGAGCCTAGTTGTGGCACTTTCAAGGTTCTAGAGCCTTGTGGTGATCTGTCCCTCTCCTCCTCCAGCAGCAGTGACTTAAGGGAGTTACATGCTTATGTTGCCTTTTGCCCAACCTGGAAATGAAACTTGAGGTAATTTTAGTAAGGAGGTAGTATAAAAGAGGATCTTTATTTGAAGGCCTTGAGGTGCAGTTATGGAAAGATAACTGTGAAGTTATGGAAAGATATCTGTGAAGAGAGGTCTAAAATGTAGTGAGATGTTTTTTCTCCTGCTTTATTCAAGCAACTTCAGTATCAAAATGCTATTGTACCGTGTGCCAAGAGCAGGCAACAGGCAACATCTCTCAGTGTTTGGAGGAATTTCACTGGTGTTGGTTCCTCAGCTACAAACCCTACAATCCTCAGACAGCTGTTAGCAGTAGGATTTATTTTGGCAGGTGGAAATAATCTTGGCCTCTAGTTGCATGGAATAGTAGTGCTAATTAGATGCTGTGCTGAAACTCCAGGGTATGAGCTGATTTATTCTGGCAGCTTCTCATCTCCTGCTTGCTGGAATGCAATTCCTTAACACCTTCTTTACAGATAACATGCCTTCACCCTTTTCATGGAGAGATACATTTTCAAATTAATTTTCAATTGGGTATGTAAAAATAGCCCTTCATAGAATGTGGTGACCCCAAAGTAAGTCATAATTCAAAATTACACATATATTGTGCTTGTGTGGTCATGTTCTGATATTGGAAGTGCTACAGTAATGGCTTCTGTGAGAAGCTGGCAGAAGCTTCCTCCATGTCCATCAGAGCCAATGCCAGCCAGCTCCAGAATGGACCCACTGCTGGCCAAGACCAGGCCAGTCAAGAATGATAGGAACACCTCTGTGATAACAGATTTAAAAAGAAAGAAAAAAAGTTACTGCACAGTTGTGATTGTGACCAGAGAAGAACAGAGTCATAATATGAGAGAGGAACAACTCAGTAGACACCAAGGTCAGAGGAGAAAGGAGGAGAAGGAGATGCTCCAGGCACCAGAGCTGAGATTCCTGTGCAGGCCATGGTGCAGAGCATGGTGAGGCAGCAGTGTCCCTGCAGGCCATGGAGGACAGAGGGGATGCAGAGATCTATCTGCAGCCCGTGTAGGAGCCCATGCTGGACTAGGCTGTGCCTGAAGGACTGCATCCAATGGAAGAGTGACCCACATTGCAGCAGTTCATGGAGAGCTGTTGCCCATGGGATGGACTCATGTTAAAGAAGTCTGTGGAAAGCTGTCTCCTGTGGGAGGGACCCACACTGGAGAAGGGGAAGGACTCCTCTACCTGAGCAGCAAGAGGAGCAATATGTGATGAACTGACCATAATCCCCATTCCCTGTCTCCCTGTGTTTCTGGAGTGTAGGAGTAGAGCCCAGGAAGGAGGCATGGACGGGGAAAGGTGGTTTTGATATTTATTTTACTTCTTATTATCCTGCTCTGGTTTGGTTATTAATAAATCCAGTTACTGTCCCAAATGTGAGTCTGTTTTGCTGTGATGGTATTTGGTGAGTGATCCCTCCTGGATCTTATCTTAACCCATGAACCCTTCATTGTATTTTTTTCTCCTCTGTCCAGTTGTGGAAGGAAGCGAGAGAGTGGCTTTGTTGGGTGCCTGGTGTCCAGACACCCACAACAACACATTTTTCAGCTAATGAATCCTTATACCTTTTTACAAGGCTTAGACTTCAAATGGATTTTGAGAACATTGTTTTTTTGAGGCATCTTTCATGGGTTTTGCTTTCTAAATGACTACTGGTACCTTAAGGACAATGGCTGATTCTCCCATTCTAGTGTCTTGCCATCTGTCTCTCAAATGATAGTTCTTTTAAATGAGTTATAGAATTCCAGTGTGTATAATCCTAAAGTAAATAACTTCTATGTGCTGCTCATGAATTTATAAGACTTCCAGTGATTATCAGGGACTATGTTTTGTGTATAGCTTTGTTCATTTCACAACTTTTTTTTTTTTCCTATCAGTATATCAGGATATTATATGTCATTCCTCATCTGACACTTTGTCCTCTTTGTTCCTATAGGCAATTAGTCGTTACTTGCCAAGACGAGATCCAGTTTTGAAACCTCTGATCTACGAAATGGTCCTGCATGCATTTTTGGAAAGTGACTATGAGGTACTGCAGCCTGATGTGTCCACATAGTTATTGCCAGCCAAAGACCCTTAGCAGGAAAGAATTCTGCCAGCAAATTCTCTCTGTATTCAAACAGATTATCAGTGGACAGTTCCACAATAATGACGATATTTAAAAGTTGAATTTTAATTTTAAGAGAATAAATGAAAGTTCCTCAGAGCATGCAAATACTGTGAGATTAATTATTCATTAGACTGTTATTTTTAGTTTGTGTAATGTAGCATAAGTGGTTGTAGGTGATGCACAAAGCCTACAGCACCTAAAGAGACTCAGCTTCATAAATCTTAATAACATCGCTCTAAGAAGGAAAAATCTGTGTTCTGCACTACATGTCTGTGGGCATGTAAAAGTTCTTTAAAGGTTAAGGACAGCAGGTATTATCTCAGAGGCTTAGTTGAAGCTTTGATGTTTTGAAATGCTCCTTAGGCCATTCTTTCTATTTCTGTTACAATCTCTTATACTTTTAGGGGTTTGCAACCCTAATAAAAGAGTGGCCTGGAGATCTGTACAACAACACAATCATAGTTCAAGCTGTAGTGGATCACCTGAAGAAAGATCCACAGAACAGGACTCTGCTAAGAACACTTGCAGAACTGTGAGTACAGTTTTAAATTCCTGTTACAAAAAGTACACTTAAAATAGCGTACTGTAGTTTATCCACATTTGCTTAGCTCTCTTAACAGAAATCTTCTTTACTGTAGTCTACAGGGTATTGGCTTTCTCTCCACTCAGCTGATTGCACAGCTTAGCAATTCTTTACCCTTCCTTGTAAAGTTCACATTGACTATGAAAGCAAACTGTTAAGCATGAGATTGGATTTCCTACTCCTCTTTCCGAAGTAAATAGCTAGCATTCCTCTTCATGCTGTCAGAGGAAACATCTTTTCTGAAGTGTGCATTTCAGAATTACCCATGTGAAAATAAAATGGTGGGGGGTTTTGCCCACTATTTAAGAAGTGTATTTAGGTTTACTGCATGGATGGAAATCTGTGACTAGAAAATGTGCCAAAACTGATCTGGTTCTTGGTCACTTGGTCACTACAGGGAAAAAGCTCTTTGATTTTCTCAGCTTGAATACTGTTATTTTCAAACTGCACCTTTGAAGAAAGAAGACTTACTGTCTATTGCTATGTTACAATCTGCCTGAAAGTTTTAAGAGTACAATGTTTTTTTAGCTCTGAAGAGTGTTCCAGTTGGTTTCTATGAATTGAAAGGCTAGCATTTTGTGTGTCTTCCCCTGTGAGTTGAAAATGGAAAATGAAAATTCAGAAATTTTCTACAGGTCAGAACACAAATGAAGGCCAATATAAACAGAGGTGAAATTAATGTTGCCTGATAGTTTCTTCCCTTTTACAAAAATTAATCACAGCTCTATTTAGATATTTATAAAATCAAGTAGTATCCTAACGTGTTTTACGTACTAGAGTATGTTTGTATTTTCTCTCATAAGTGATTTTCCTACACTTAAGTATGTAACATTACATGTATTATAATCCTATTTTTATCAGGTACACTTATGATCAGCGCTATGGCAGAGCCCTAGAAATCTACCTAACTCTGAGGCACAAAGATGTCTTCCAGTTGATCCACAAACACAATCTCTTCAGTTCTATCAGAGACAAAATTGTTCTGCTCATGGATTTTGATTCAGAGGTATGGTGATCTTAATGATTTTATATTCACTTTCCTCTAGATATAATTTAACAGATTAAAAATAAATGAGCTAAAGATGGTGTTGAGGAGAGTGTGTGTTTGCTGCATCTGGATACATTCTGAGGTAAGGAAGATTGTTTGTCTAGATTGCAAAGTAATTGACCCAAGATTATTTTTTCCCTTCATATTTCCATTTGTGTTTCCTTTCAATTTCCATTTGTCACTCTCAATGAGAAAAGTGAGTGTCCACATCATTTGAGATTGTTGTCATTCTCAAGTTACAACATTAAATATCATTTCACACAGAGTATGATTTCACCATGTTACTCTTTCTGTAAGCCAAAGAAAGGAGAGAGTGAATTTATGTAGGCATATATTACATGTACTTACCATTTTCCTTTCACCAGTCAATTAATCTGCTTCTGAAAGTTTGCAAGGTTATTAACCTAAATTCCAAAAATCAGGAAGTGTTAATTCCATGCTGAATTCTATCTTCTTTCTTTCCAGCTGGCTATAAAACCTGAGCAAACAAGTTTTGGTGATAACCAAGTAGATCTCTTTTTTCAGTGCAGTAGTTGTTTAAGCACTGCAGCTAAAATATGGATCACTACTGTTGGTGATCATCTTTAGTATGCCCATCCTAAACTACATGGAGAAAAAAAAATATAATTTTTTTAATCCAATAGAATAAGTCATACCAGGAATTTTTAGGAATATCAAGCCATATCTTGGTATTTTTTGAAGCAAAAGTTTGCTCTCGAAAGAGGAAGCAGAACCTGAGTTCTGGTGAATGATTGGCTTACATGGTCTTGTTTGCATGATTAATGTATTGGTGTGCAGGTAGTTTGGAGGAATCCAGTTGTGAGAGAGATTGAATTGTGTGTTTCTTACATAGTCATCACCCTGTAGTTCCCTTCAGTGATGGAACAAATAGTATTTCTACATTGTTCAGCAGTGGCTTTTTGTGATTGATGATGATTCAGTGGGCATATGTCACCTGCAGTGTCAGTGCACAGCATTTATTGCTATTAGTGAGGAAACTTAGGAGAAGTATTCTGGAAGAATGCAGTGCTGTGCTGTCAAGGTATGCTGCTGTTATGTAAATTGTTCTCTGAATTTCTGTTGCCGAAAAGAGTAGGTCTGCAATATCTATCTGACACCCATCAGTGAACAAGCATAATATTATATAGAGTATGAGAAAATATGTATACCTGTTTCCTATCTGAGTTCTCTTTTTCTGTTGTAGAAAGCGGTAGACATGCTTTTGGATAATGAAGATAAAATTTCCGTGAGTATGACAAGTTCATGGCATGGCAGTCCACTGCTAGCTTTTATTACCTGGTCTCCTTTCAGTCTTGTAAATGTGATGTCTATCACAGGTTTGTTTTCTTTCAGATTGACAGAGTTGTTGAAGAATTAGAAAACAGGCCTGAGTTACAGCATGTGGTAAGTATTCTTGCATTCTGTTGATTTCAAGTTGAGCTGAATAAATTCTTGGCTGGACATACCTTTTACAGGTGTGTTTATTTTTTCAAAGTGCACCTGACACTGAAATGTCATAAATGATCAGAGGCAAAGTGGCTACTTCTGGCAGTTTCCTCTTTAGCATGGCCGTAGCATCTTCACAGTAGTTAAATGATCTTAAAATATGTACCTGTTAGAATTTGATAACATAATACATACTTACTAACATCTCCTTTGCACTGCATTGTAGGCATTTGTCTTTTCTGGTCAATTAATTCTTGCTTTTATTCCTTCTTTTTCCCTACCCAAAAATGCAGTTGGTTGGTGGGTGCAGCTCTAAAATGTTTTGCAGATCCACAAAGTGAATTGCTTGTCTTTCTGGAGCTGTAACTTCCATACACTGTTGAATTTTTCTTCTTTGTACAGAATTACAATATCACTGTAAGGTTGTGGGTCCACACTGCTATTCCAGAAGTTCCTCTTTGGTTTGAACATGCTGTCAGTGCAGTATATAGTATGACCCCTCATAATGTGTGACAGTGGGCTTGGGCTGTATTAGAGAGGGAAGTTTTAACTTGCTCTTGGTCACAGATAGGGCTCAGGTATTCATCTGGTAGAGATGTGGTTTATGGGTTAGAGATCTGATTATGGGAAGCAGATCTATGGCAAGTGCAGTCCACAGCCCAAGAGCTTTGCAAAGGCAGCTGACAGACTGTCAGTTTACAGAAGGGATGCAGAGGAAGGCAACAAAGGTGGTGAATGGTCTAGAGGGGAAGCTGTACAAAGAGCAGCTGGGGTCACTTGGTTTTGCTCAGCCTGGATAAGAGGAGACTGAGGGGAGTCCTTGTAGCTATTTGCACCTTCTTCACAAGGGAACTGTCAAGGCAGGCACTGATCTCTTCTCTGACAACCTGTGACAGGACCCAAGGACATAGCACAAAGCTGTTTCAGGGGAGGTTTAGGTTAGATATTAGGAAAAGTTTTTCCCACTAGAGTGGCTGGGCACTGAAACAGGTTTCCACTCTGGTGAAGTGGTCACAGCATCAAGGCTGAGTTCAAGAAGCATTTGGACAATGCTTTCTGGAACATGGTGTGATTCCTAGGGCTGTCCTGTGAAGGGCCAGGATTTGGAATTTGATTATCTATGTGGTTCCCTTCCAACTCAGGAGTTTCTATGATTCCATTAATAATATTGAGCAAGTGGGCTTGAATTCTGACTTTTTTTTTTTCTTTTGGATTCCTAGTATTTACACAAGCTTTTCAAAAGAGACCACCATAAAGGCCAGCGATATCATGAGAAACAGATCAGCCTTTATGCTGAATATGATCGACCAAACTTACTTCCATTTCTCAGAGACAGCACACACTGCCCACTGGAGAAGGTAAGCCCCAAAAATCTAAACACAGGTCCTTGATTATTATGTCTGATCTGTAGCTTGTAGTCTTGTGAATTTCAAACTGTGTCTGGTACTGCCCTCTACTGCCAATATGAGGGATCCTTTGAGTTTGTGGCCATCACCTGCAGTTCGGTTTGCAGAGCTGATGACACCTGAGACTTTCATCTCTCAGCTCACAGGGCAGGAATCAATGGGTATTTTTCATTCAGAAGTTCTGAATTCACATTTGGTGTGTAGCTACAACATATCTACTCATCAGTGCTTGACTGAACAATACATTATGGTTTCAAGAAACTGAAAATCATTTTGCCAAATCTAGCAGTTGTCAGTGTTAGATCTTGAAAAACCAGTAGCTGTAACTGCAGTTATTCTATCTTTTTATTGTAAGGCATAAGTTTCTCTTTAATAATATATATATACAAAATAAGTTACTGAACTAACAGGGCTAAAAGTATTTTTTCTTTGCACTTTGGCTTGGCACTTGGGGTTTTACAGAGTACCAGGTTTCCATCTTCTTATATTTTTGTATTTTTTTCTGTTTTCCTTCCTTGCTCTTTCTTGGCAAATTATAAAATGCATAAAGCTAAAGCCAATCTTGAGTTGTTTCCCCTGCTTGAATTAATGTGAAATTAATGGAATTTCTAAGTTTTCCAATTTAGATGGGTCAGTATTTTATTATTTGTATTTATTGCTGTTAATGGTTGAGCAGAGCAGACCTTGCCTATCCATATGCAGCTATAATGATGACAGTGGAGTAGTTTTCAAGTGTGATATTGAATGTTGTATTTTACATGGTTAACATTCCAAAGCAAACTAATACTGTTCCTGGTACCTCTCTTGTTTTGCATGTTTTTGTCTACTGAAAAATAGGTTATTAGCATTGGAGAATTGGGATTTGTTGGAACCATTACCTGAAACTACATTCACTAGTTTAGGCAGTGAGCCTGAGAGGTTTCCAGCCTGAAACTTTGGTCTACAATATTGTCTTAGTTGTTTTTAACTTTCTGATTCTTCGTTTCTGACTTATGTATTATTCATGTGATCATGGTTTTGTGTATAAAATCTTACCTGCATTTTTTTTTTTTTTAATTTTGAGGCAAATTAGTTATTGCACATCCAGCCTCCTATCTTTAATACAGGTGGTGTAGAAAAGTACTCTGTGAAACTGATGCTCATTGCTGGTACTGCTTTACTGAAGATACGGGCTATGAGCAAGGATAGGTCAGAGACCCACCAGCTTCTGGAAGGTGTGGTGCAGTAGTCACAAAAGTCAACAGAGAAGAATGTCAGAAAAAACGTGTCATTCTAACCTTAATGTTAAAATACTAACATCTTTCAGTAAAAAGCTGAGGAGGAGAGGAAAAGATAATACTGCTAATTCTGTAATTATACTTCTTTCTGTGCATGCCATATAGTAACACTTCTTCTGACATACAGATTTTTGTTCTAAGAAAATCAAAAGGTTACTAAGAATTCCCCAGTAACTACTGTTCTCAGTTCCTGTTAAGCAAGTTCCAACAGGGTGTATAAACTGCAAAAAGCTATTTCTGTTTGAAAAAATCCACTCTTATTATTGCTCTAATGAAATTATAAACTCATCAAGAAGAAATAATTTACACTCTTTAGAAGTAAGCCACTTTTATTCAAGTGCAGTTTAGCAAACATTTTAAAAATCAAAAAAATTAGCTGGAAGAGAAGTCAGAATGTTCCCTGTTTTCCTCTAGAGGGAGCATGACAGTCAGGAAATGGCAGTATCTGGGACTACTGCATACCTGGTGCTTTGTAGTTTACCTTTTAAGTGGAGAGGAAAAACAAGGCTGTCAGCTGTGTATATAACTTATTAGTATTATTCATACCTTCATTCACCTGGAGTATCTGGTTGGTAATTCACTTACTGTAGCCCAAATTTCTAATTTCTTACTGTCCATATTTCTAATCTTCATAGTAACTCTTATGAAATAATAAGAATTGGAAGGAAAAGTTAATTCCTACCTCATTTTTGATTGTAGCTACACTTTTTTTAGTGGAAGTTTTGAACTCCAAGTGTGAAAGTTGGTGAACAGTTGTCTTTAGAGGAATGCTATGAATCTTGAGTTTGCTTTCTGTTTCCAGATTGGAAACAGACATGGCACTGTTTATGCCATACCAGCCCAGCCTATTTCCTGTTACTACAAACTTGTTGGTGATCAGTTTGGTAGTTTTGATAATTGTGCTGGTTTCCAACTAGACACAGATTCTTTAGATGCTAAAGATACTTAGCCCTTAGATCTTTAAACCAAATTTACAAGAAATGCTTCGTCCATATTCTTTCATATTTATTATTTCATGTTGTCTTCTTGGTGCAAAATTTGAAGGGCACTCTCTTGAAACCATTCTGGTTACCCTGAGGAGGTTTTCAGCCTTGTGTTATTAATAAATGTCAAGCAGACTTCCATCACTAGAAACCACATAAGTCCACCCACAAGAAGCAAGTTTTCATAGCAGATAACCTTGATGTTTTGTATTAACCAACTTTTGGAGGCAGAATAAAGAAGTTGCTGGTAGAATTACAGGCAGAGATTGACATAGTCCAGATTGAAATACCTGTTCTGTCCCCAGATTTTTTCAGTCTCAGAGAAGAATTTTAAAGAGAGTTGTGGAAGTCATGAAGCTTCTCTTCTTAATTAAGGCCAGAGGACTTGGCAGTGCTTATTAAAAGGAGCTGTGTTCCTGTCAAAAAGAATATTGTAATTTGGTGGAAAAATCACTTCAAGCTTCTTGCAGCATTTGTGATCAATAAAATTTCATGTTTCATGGTTTCCTGAATTCTCTTCTCTCCTCTCTTCTCTTACATTCAAGGCTCTTGAAATCTGCCAGCAGAGGAACTTTGTAGAAGAGACAGTCTATCTTCTGAGTAAGTAATTCAGAACAAATAACTGTGATCAATTACAACACTTTTAAACTTGTAATAAAGTTTATGGTGTGAAAATACATTGTCTAATATCTAAACCAAATAATATGATTTAGAAAATAAATCAAAGCACTGGATGGATATGATGTCTTAATTTCATATATTGTGTTATTGTGTTTTTTACTTGGTGTCCTTCTGGGGTTCTGGAAGTGTTGCAGAGGCTATGGGGAACAAGTTGGGCAGGGAGGTATTTCTGATACAACCTCCAAGAGAAGAGTTATACTGTTGGTTTTGAAAAGAGAGGAGAAATTAAATGTTTTATTCTGAGTACATCTTAGAAGCTTAGTATTATCTTTTGCTGAGATGAAAGATTTGATTATATTGTTTTCTATAATTTTTTTTCCATAAAATTAGTTGTAAATTAACTCCTTCAGCTGGCCAAGAATTCTACCTCTGAATGAGAGGCACTGGAAGACTTACATATATGTTTATGTATGAGTCAGGAACAGAATAGTAAGCATATTTTAAAACAATCTCTGGTTCAGTCAGAAATAGAATATTTTGTGGACCATTTCAGTGGAGAATAGGATTTACTAATGAGTTTATTTAAAGAATGGTTCATAAATTCTGCTACCTCTTCCTGTTTCTGCTTATTTTTCGTGGGTGTAAGCTGCACTATACTTACTGCAAATTAAGAGGGCTCATGTGGGCCCTTGAAGCTGGTATTTCATGTTATAGTTTATGTCATAAACACACATAAACACACTCCCCCTCATGTTAGATGTTGCTGCAGTTCAGAACCCCAGATATAATGCAGCACATCCTTGAGAAAGCCTCCAGGTCCCAGTCCAGCAAACTGCACCAAGCACTTGTTCAGATTATACTGATTTGTATTCCTACATCAGAATAGACTAGATTTGGCCTTGGTTGAATTAGTTTGAGTCAACTTCACACTTACAAAATTCTTATTGAAGGAACACTGATGAGCAATTCACATTTAAGATCCCTTATTTTTCCTTCCAGGCAGAATGGGTAATAGCCGCAGTGCCTTGAAGATGATAATGGAAGAACTGCAAGATGTAGATAAAGCTATTGAATTTGCCAAGGAACAAGATGATGGAGAACTTTGGGAAGATCTCATTCTATATTCTATTGACAAACCACGTAAGTGGGATAGTTTCTGGAAAGCCTTGCATGTGTGGAATTCTATTGCAATTAAAAGATTGAATTATTCACATGTATGTTACAGAAAACGTTTATGTGTGGTCAGGGAGGTGTTCTGGTTTGTGAAACACAGCACAGCTGTCCTACTGTGCATGAAAACTAGCAACAAGGCAGTGTGAGGTTATGCTACACAATGAATACTTGGAGGCTTAACATTGAATAAGCTCTACATAATTATGTCCTTAACAACAAATCAAGGGGACAGTAGTGCTTTTATTTTAGCCGAATGAGATTTTTAGACAGCCTCAAAACACAGTCTACAGCCTTGATGAGGATTTTGCATACTATGTTATTACAACTGCTTCCCTTTGAGATTCTGAAAATGAAGAGCCTACACCTTTCCTCCCTTCAGTAAAACAACTAATTTATTTTGTTTCTGTGTTACAAAGGTAATATTGGTAATATTGAGTGCATTTTTCCTTTCATTCATTATATGAGTTAAAAGGTTAGATGGACTCAGAAACATAAGCATCAGTGTTGTCAAGGAGGCAGATTCAAAGAAGTTCAAATGACTAAGAAAACATAGAATTTTCTTAACTATATACTCCATTAGTTTTTGCAGCCTTTTCTGGGGTTTTAAATCACGACTTTAAAGTCTCTCTTGGGACCTGTTTTCTGGGGGATTATGAGTCTTGTAGAATTAGTGTCAGAATACGTATCTTTTCATCCCTTGCTTGCTAATTTCGACAGGAAGAAGTGACCAGAATCTGTTAATCCTCAAGAAGAATGGCATTCTGAAATTACCCATACTTGAATGCATCACTAAAAGTAATACTACAGTCAGTGATATCTTTAGAGCAAAAGGGATTCAAAGCGTACAGAATTCTCTCAGTTCCTCTATGTTACAGTTTCTGCCTATATGCAGAGCAGCTCTAGTGATATTGCTCAGTTGTGGGGGTTGAGGAAAAAATACAGCCTTGAGTCATCATTCTAGTGGGTTTTTTAGCCAGATGCCCTTCAAAAAGCAAAACACTTCTATGGTGTCACTCTCACCAATGTTTAGAAACACATTGAAATTGGGTTAGGTGCTTGAAAATTTGTTTTTAAACCCTGGAACTGAGAATTGAATTGCCACATAACACAGTTAATTTTTTCACTCTATTTGCTTGAGTGCTCTTTTTATTGAATCAAAATGCATTATTTACTTGTGAGTTTGTGCTGGAGACTCAGTTAACACTTTGCTGAATATTCTGGAAGTTCTGTAAATTGCCAAACTGTATCTTCCTCACTTTCCCAAAGGCTTGTATTCAAGTAAATAACAGCTGCAAGAAACATAAAAAGACTGTAGAATAGACTTAGTACTTTCACTTAGTAGAGAGCTAAGGAATATGCCAAAGCCTGTAGTTTGTTACCAAAGTATCCTTTAATCAGGTATTTTGATGGATTGTTTTTCTTAATTTCTTTACCTCTTGGTTTTCACAGCTTTTATTACTGGTTTGTTGAACAATATTGGAACTCATGTTGATCCTATTCTTTTGATCCACCGCATTAAGGAAGGCATGGAGATTCCTAATTTGAGAGACTCACTAGTAAAAATTCTTCAAGACTACAACTTGCAGGTAGATATTGCATTCTTCATGGGATACTAATTTTCAGAGATACAGCAAACCCTCTTTGTCACTTAACAGCACAAGAAATTGGTACCGTGATTTGTTCAGTCATTGGTCACGGACACTGGGCCGATACAAAACTATGACAGAAATAGTGGAAATTTGCCAAGATTTCTTGATGACTTCTAGCCCTTCTAAATGTCTTCCATACTGTCGTAAGCCTGGTGGACAAGTAGAACTGGAAGCACCTTGAGTGATTCAGCCTATTTTACTCTGCTCAACTGTCCAGTATTGGGAAGTTTCATGACCACTACTTTTCACATCTGTTTCACATGAATGCACAGGCAGAATGGAGGCAGAATGCAACATTCCCTCGCTGAAACATTCTTCAGGTGTTAGAGCCATATGTTAAGTGTCATACTAACTGAAGGAAGATGAAATTTAAAATCAAGTTCATGCCAATGATGCAGAATCAGCTGATTGAGCATGATTCTAGTAATGCCAAGGTCGTGGGTTTGATTCCTGTAATATGGACCAAATATTCTGTGCATGTGTTGCAGTTCATGCATTTTTTTAAAAATAGATTGTTCACTGGATTATGGGAGTTCTTATCCCAGTATATTGTACAGGTATGTGCAGTCCCCTACATTGGTTCTTAGATGTGTTTGTAGGAACTTACAAGAAATGCACCTTTCAGTGTCCACTGAAAGTAGCCAGTAGAGGGTGCTGCACTGTGTATTTTAAATCTCGCTGCTGCAAAAGGAGTCCCAAACCTGAATTCTCTGTTATGCTGTTCTGTGTCGCTCTACTGAAAGAAAGATTAAGAGAAGTTTGAATGCGTCCAGCGTGACTATGCAGAGTCGAAGAAAACATAGTTCATTAGGTGGTGAAAACTGATTTTCTAAGCCTCAAACATTTCTTCCTCATCTGCTATAAGTCTTTCAACATTTCGAGCAAATAGATGGACTCGATGGGTACATTAAAGTCATGGCTGGTATCTTTCCAGGCCAATAAAAACCCATATCTCCCTTCAGGGCAGGTTTTAAGCCTTTCTAAGGCTTTTCCAGTATTTTATTTTTGTATGCACTTCAGATTATGATTTTGGCTATTTCAAAGAAGCATTTTACATTTCTTCATCTCCCAGCACTTGTTAAGGAACCTCCCCAGATAAACAGATAACGTTTGCATATCATGCATGTTGTAACATTGCTTCAGGTTTTGACTTCATCAGGTGCTAGTATCCTTCCAAAACGATACGAGCTAAATACCATGCTGCATTTCAACAGTTGAATGTTAATAGTGCTGCTGTCATTACCACCATTGATCCTCCTATTCCTGCATTCTCATGAAATCAAAATGTAATATTTGTTGTGTTTGCAGGCAGACTGAGAAAGTGCTGTAAGCATAGCTTCAGCTTTACACATATACAGAGTACATTGCATGGCTTCAGACAAAGCTGATCACATCATTTGGTGATATTTTGGGGATGGAAGTATAATTTTTTCTTCAAATACCTTTTAACTGAATTACTTCTGGATTAAAAGCATGTATTTAACCTTGATAATTATGTCTAAAATTATTTACTGTTAGCATTATAAGGATTCATGGATTTCAAATTAATTGATTTTGAAGCAGAGTTTGATAGCTCTAGGGCTAGAATTTAGATTTCATAGGGATAATAGAAATTAGGGAAGCTTAATGTAATTTGTGTTTGTCTTGCTTGTATGATAGAAAAAATTATAGCCCAAAAAAAGTCAGTATTTCATTAGAGGAATGTAAGTTATAGTTTAAAATAAATCTGTTCCCTAGGTGTTACTGGCAGTGTGAAGTGCACTGTTTATGCACAGATGTTATATCTACATTGAAATTTAAAGATCTTATTTCTATTTTGCATGCTCACTGAAGTAGCCAATTGGCAAGCTCAAATTTTATAGAGGGACTGTTTCTGCATTCAGTGTGTGCTTCAGGACATGGCTGGGACTTTTGGTGAATGTCTAAGCAGCCTCTCCTTGCTGAGGGCAGTTCTGCCCTAGCAGAACTGTTATTGCTGCCTCATTAACTGTTCTGAAGCTAGTCTTTGGTGTGTTTGTATGATGCCTGGCCATACCTCTGCATGTGTTGTGTAGGTTCATGCTGAGAAGTCAATGGCCTTTATTCTGGCCTTGCACAGCTCTGGCTTTTAGTAGAAGCCTCCTGATGTGTAGCATGAAACATACCAGACATTTTGAACTCACTCAGAAATACAAATTTCATTGGCTAGGATTTTCTGTATCTTCATCTTTTTGGATCTCAAGCTCTGTACACATGTAAGTTTTATTGTTCTCATGTTCAAAGGCAAAAACAATCTTGTGCTAAGATCCACGGAGGAGGAGGGCAGGTGAAAAGAGAGCCTGCTGCTTGACTTGCAAGTCACTGCCTAACACAAAAACTGCTGGTCTTTTCATACTGATCTTATGAAAAATTCCCAAAAGATGTTACCACTGTGCCACTATATTGTTTAATTGTGGGCTTCTTTTGCAAGCCCTAATAAGATTATTTTACACCTATGTAAGCATGCAAATTAAAATTTCCCATTGTGCTCTTTAGTTTCCATACCAGTAAACTTTACTTACATATGATGTGAAATATGGGTAGGAGTTAAAAGCAGTGCTTTTGACAGACTTTGTCTCTTTGATTAACAGTCCTTTCTATCCCACCAAAACCAAGTAAATCAAACAGAGCGGATGCCAAAGTATGTGTGACTCACAGTATGCCTTACAGAATCCAACAAGAAAGTCTACTAATGCAAATTTTGTTGTCATTTTTTTTAATATGGACACTTCCTTTAATAATTTTTATTAATGTTGGCAGATTGAAGACTGATTGCTTTGATTTAAAAAATTGCCACCCAGTAGATGAGCTGCTTCTACTGTTCTATATGCTACTCTAAGCTCACCTCAGCTTTGTGGTTAACCTTTGAAATCTGATCACTACCAACCAAACAAGCATAGCAATAAAGCAGAATTAGGTACAAAAAAATTAGATATTAAAATAGATAAAGCAGAATTAGATACTTGGGGTTTTTTTGGGGGGCAAAAATAAAACAAAGATAATTTACAAACTTTTTCATAGGTTGCTATTTCAAGTAAGTGCTACTAATTTGCTTTTTGCCCTGACATTACAGGTCTGCTTTACAAGTAGGGATCTATTAACCTGCCTTCCAGAACACCTATTTTTATTTTCCAACTTCAGGAAATGCAGTTCTGCCATGAGCTTAAATCCTAACTCTTCTCCTAAGCAGGGAAATATTTAAATTATTTTTGAATTGGCATTAAACCTTGAAGGGTTTTTGTTTGTTTGTTTTCATCCCTGAGAATAATTTATTTTGGTGTTTTCTCTTTGTCATCATTTGAGTTAATGTATTAAAACCATAGTACATAATCAAATGACACTGACTGTAGTGATAAAAATTAATTTACTGCTGAAATAATGCTGATTTTAGTGTTTATACACAGTAACATTCATAAACAGCAAAGTTATGGAGACATAGACAAGGACAAAGCTATAGTTCTTAGAATTTTAATATGAGCATTTATCAAATAAAGTGTTGTCTAAAGCTTTTATACTGCTTGTGAAATCTACTTTGTTGTTGTCATAAATTTATAGATAGATTAGACATGCTGGCTTAAAGAGAAACCTGCATATTAGAAATTACACATTACTAGTGTTTTTTTTAAGTGCAAATAAATCACCATTCTTCAGGTTTCTAAAGCATTCTATCACAAGTCTGCCAAAGAAGACTGGTAGTAAAATCTCCTTATTTATAGACTTGTGAGTTAATTATAAGCCTGTTATGCTTTTCAAATGTATTAAATAGGTGTCTTTTCACCTTTGGTTTGTATCTGAATGAAATGTAGGAAATGCTTGTGGTATTGGAAGAGGTTAAAATACCTCCCTTGTTTTAGAAAGAAATGCTTCATTTTTCACCCTTTCTATATAATTTGTTAGAATAAATCTTTGAAAGATGTTGGTGTTCTAAGACTCCTTTTCCCCTTAGCTTTAAGATACAGAAGCAATTTGTTTAGATGTAGTATTTACAGGTTATGTGGATTAGCCATTTTACTCAAATGTTGACTTACTAGTTTGCACTTTGAACCTACAGTAACTCTGATGGGTAACAGACATTGATCCATTCACATAATTCACACCTATCCATTCATAATAGAGTTTATGAACCAGCAGAACCCAATGATAATCCAATGAATGCTGCTTGAAACAGCACCTGGAAAAAATGTTAGGTTATGCTCCTGAACGTAACTAAAAATGCTGTTCAGACACCTTGGAGGCACTAGAGGGCAGGTGGCAGCTTGCACAGGGGGATATGTGCCTTTTGTCTGTAAAGACTAAAAACAATGTTATTTTTTAACATTAAATGTAATTTAAATTAAAATAATTTTAATTGTGGCAGTGATGCTGTTTGAAAGAATTTTGTTAACTGGCCTTGAGAAACTTGGACTTGTTTGTGTGTTAAGATGAATCAAGGCCTGAATTTATTTCCAGAGCTTTGAGTATACCCTTTCAAATTATCTGCATACTGCAGTGCTTTTCTTTAATGTTAGACATTTGTAAATCAAGACTGTTTTAATCAAATAGAATGATTTATGCCTAATATCTTCCCTAATACAGCCAGAAAACAAAGTCTTTTTTTGCAATAATTGTTTTGGTTTTAGCAGTTTTCATTAATTTCATGAAAGGCATTATTTCTGCTTAAAACTTCTTTATGTAGGTACATGATGCTGTCCTGCTTGTGCTCACAATTACATGCTTTTAAAAGACTAACAAAATTCAGTTTCATCCTCAGTTCTGTTTCTTCTTGGAAAGTGGTTTCATCACAGATTTATGTCCAATGTCAGTTTTAACTAGTTCAATTTAACTGTAGGGTGCACAGTTACCTATTTCTCCCCCCTTATAATGAAGCTCCCTCTCTCTTGACTCCAAATTCTCTTTCCTTTGCTTTCTGTAACTTCTAAATTTTCCATTTTTGAGATCTTCAATTTCTACAGAAGTGTTGAAATTTATTACCTTGAGAGTAGACATTTTACATTCTGCATTGTGATTTTTCCCTTTATATAATAAAGACTGCCTACTGTATTCCATTTCTAGCAAAATAAGGTCTGACAGATAAAGTATGGAAAGATCTTAGTGCTGTTTAAGTAATTGGAGAAAGCATATTTCTTAAAAGATATGTTTTATCAGGTATTTCTGTTACTCCTGGCTTTCAAGGCATCGAACAGTATTGAGGTTTTCCAGTGACCTAGTGATGTCTGTTGTTTCCCTTTTTCTTTTTCTTTTTTTTTTTCCTTATTGGCGCACTACATTTTAATTAAAAAATGCTAGGACACACTTCCATCTTCCCATTGTATCTTAGTTCTGCTCCTTTCATTTAATATAGTCACAGCACCAAGGCTGTCAAGAGTTCAAGAAACGTTTGGACAATGTTCACAGGCACATGGTGTGATTCTTGGTGCTGTCCCCTGCAGAGCTGGGAGCTGGACTTATGGGTCCCTTCTAGATCAGGATATTCTATGACTCTATGCTTGTTTTACTCCTTTTACTTCAGCATGGGGAGGTTTCATCTGTCTATGCTGAGAGCACTTAGCAGAGACTCTAATATATAGCCAAGACCTCATCCCCTCCAAGTTACTTACTTATTTTTGGAAGACAATTTGCTGATTGAGAATAGTTTGAATCAGGTAGGCACTCTTTCTGAAGCACAGTCTCATTCAGTTGTCCTTGCTAAATGTTTCTTGTATTTTTTTCAAACCTAGCAACAGTTTTCTATATTTAGGACAAAATTTTATATTCCTTCTTCCCTTTGGATAAAGTTGGCAAGAGAAAGACATAGACAGATTGTTCTTGAGATTATCAACAGGTAAAAATCATTAATTTTCTAAGTGTTTTTCTTGTAGATCTGCATTCAGTTGCTGGTGCTCTGAAATGTTGTATAGCTTCATGTCTCTAATACTGGAAAAATATGATTCACCTGTTGATATGTCCAATTTTAAATGCTCATAGTGTTACTCAATATTACATTTTTTAATGTACTTCAGATTTGCACTCTTACCTGCATATCATTCTTAGTAGTGTGTCCTTATTCCTTTAAAATGTGTATGTGAAAAGGCAGAGTTTTGGACAGTGTCCACCTGTCTAAAATCTGTTACTGTGTTTCTTCTTAGTTATTTGCATTAGCTGTATCTTTTGCTATCTTAGAATGCTCAATATCTCCTGTAAAACAAATAATCAGAAGAAAGGAATGAACACTGCTTCTTTATACCTCTCTTTTAGTAGGGTTGGTCACATTATAATGTGAATGAAAGCACTTTCCAAAGGAATGGTTTTCTTTGAAAACAAATTTCCAAGCATCAGTTTGGGAAGAGGATGAAAAAATTCCAAAAGACTTACTTTTGGAATTTTGGGTCTGCAATATTTTCATACTTGCTCCATTAATGTGAAATAAGGCTCTTTATAATTTTTATGCCCTTGCTTCTTCTGTGTTTCAAAACCATTTCAGGCAATGACATGTCAATCTAATGAAAAATACCAAATAAATCAAAAAGGAGCCGAGACTTCTGCTAATGAAAAGTTAACTAGGTACCCTTTTGTTAGTTGCATGGACATTTAGTACTGCTTATTAAATGCCACCTCAGCAGGATGTATGTTTGAAGAAAACATGTTTTGAATTGCTGTGTTTATGAAGGTTTTATGATTATTAAATATCTTTTCTGAAGAAGACAGGAAAGATACAGGAAGAAGTTTAGAAATGTTTTGGAAATTAATTCTGAGGGGCACTGTAAAAATTCGTCTCTGTTGTAATTTTTCAACACCATCTCACAGAAAGACATTCATAATTTATAATAATAGTATCTTTGTAAAAATTTTATTTTTTGATGTTGGCTTTTGTTTTGTGGGGCTTTGGTTTTTTTTATTGTGAGCTTTTCATTCAGGTAGATGTGATGGCAACAAAAGATTCCTCCTTTGCCTCCCTTATATATAGCTCCTTGAAAAGTTTTAAACATTCCTTACACTCACTTTGGCAGCAGAAACACAGTGGTGACTTGTCAAGATAGTTGATATGCCCATCTGTTCAACAACCAATGTCTTTTATGTTCTTTGCACCAACAGATCTTGCTGCGGGAAGGTTGCAAAAAGATACTCGTTGCCGATTCCCTTTCTTTATTGAAGAAAATGCATCGAACTCAGATGAAGGGTGTTCTAGTGGATGGTGGGTACAGATAGAACATGATGAATTTCAAGGTTTTAAAGACTACTGCTTGGTTTATATGCCCCCTGACTGTCTGCTTTGGAAGCTGCCCAAAAGCCTGCATTTTTTACCTTATTTGTAGAGTGTAGTAGGATATTAGATGCTTTTCCCCTTTACAAAGGAACTACTTGTGTCTCAAAAACTACAAGACCCAGTATGCAGCTGTTTCTCTTGATCAGTCTCTGCACAGGCAGTAATGCTTTGTGTCCTGCAGTTGGTCTGTGAAGGTGAAAACGCTGTTTAGTGCCAACATGAACAGTCAGATGCTAATAGTCTGCAATAAAGCAAAAGATACAAGAAGGTTGTCAGAACCAGCTGAAAACATGCATGTGGGCAGCGCTGTAATTCACACCAGCTGAGTGTTAATAGCAAGAGACAAAAGCTGACAGGACAGAGGGCCAGGGCTTCTGCTCCAAAATGCTATACACTTAGCAGCCACTCATCCCATGCCCCTTTTTTCAGTTTGCCTTTTTTCTCTTCAGCACTGATCCTAAACAGCCTCAATCCTGCAGCCAGATCTAAATATTTATCATGTTGTTATTAGAAATGCTATTTCAGTATTGCTCTTTAATTTTTAATAGATTCTGTTAGGCATCTTAAGTAAATGCTTTAAGACCAACCATTTCTGTAATAGCAGTATGTTCATGCCTGTTTTATTAGAAAGCAAACATGGAGTTTGTTAAAAAAGCTTAGTTTTCTTTTGTTTTGTTTTCCAGAGGAGAATATCTGTGAATCATGTCTGTCTCCAATACTTCCTTCAGGTAGGATGCTTTCCTAGAAAAAAAAAAAAGGTTGTAAGTTGTTGGGGTTTTTTTTAATAGTATTTTAAGAGGAACTACTGTTCACTTTTATTCATAAAAACATGTAATCTCCCTTGGTGATCAATGTATAAATTTCAATCTCCTATGCAAAGTTTGCTTTTGAATTCTGACATTGGAGTGGAGTCTAATTGAACATTTTTTGTTGCAATAAACCCAGACATTCTTTCTTATTCAACTTTGACTTCCTTATTTTCTGCTTTTAATATATGGAATTCAAGGCAACTTTTAATTCTATCAACACACATATTCTGAAAGATTATTAGAACCACAAAACTGAGATGCTGCCTCCAAATCTTGTCCCCCTCTGTTGGATTATTCACACTGAACTTGTAGATTATAAATTTTATGGAATGCACTTTTTGTCTGAATGTTCTTGGCTTCAGTCATGGGTGCCATATTTGAAGCATCTTAAAACCAACTGGCTTTAAAACACCTTCTAAAGTTAGTTGTGAAACTAGAAATTCAGGATGTTATTTTGGAGATGTATGTTCTTCAGGGCAACTGTAGTACAGAAATATCAATGTAGTTGTTGGGTGTCTTAAAAAGAAGTTGTTTTGCTAAGAGAATATCTGTCATGGCCTGTTAAAGCAAGAATACCTAAGACAAAGCATATGTACAGACATTTGTTTGTTTTCTAAGTGTTTATAGCCTGACAGAATCACTTACAGTTTATCTGGCTTCTACCATTTTTCACTTGACTAAATAAATAACTATACTGGGATCACATACAGCACAATACAGACAAGGAAAGTCTTGCAGAGTTGAATGTGCTAGTGCTTTGAGGTATGTGTGTTGAGGGGAAAAGAGCCAAAGTAGAATGTGAATGCTGCTCGTGAGTGAGATTCTTTAGACATGTGGATGTTGTATTTAGGGTTCTAATCTGGCTGAATATTAATGTGGGAATGAAAACCCATGTCATGCCCCTAGGCAGCTTGTGGCCATGGCATGCAGTGCACATTCTAGAACTTCTCAGTGTTCTGGTTCTCTTCACACTAGTGCAAGAATTTTTCTGCTAACTTTTCTTCAAAGCAGCTGAATTATTTGGTGGTAGTTTTACTTTTATCCCTGCTCAAATTTAGCATGTAGCATATATTGAGATGAAAAATTCCTGATGGAAAGGTATCTAACATTTAAGCCACACAATAAAACTGTTTTGTAACTCCATCACTGGCACACATTACCTGAAACCATCACTCTTAATGGTTTCTATGAATGAGCCAGAATAATTTGGAAATTATTTTGAAAGATGTTACTTGAAGTTTCTCTGCGTATAATAGAATGCAGGGATATATTGCTGTAGCCACTAAATAATTTGTTTCATTGCCCTGTTGAAATTAATTTATTTTTCTGTTTCCCAGATGCGTCCAAGTCCTTCAGTGTGGTAGTGTTCCACTGCAGACACATGTTTCACAGAGAGTGCCTACCCGTATCTAACACAGTAAGGAATTAATATGTCTTAATTATCTTTGCCAAAGATAAAGTGACACATTTTCTTTTGTCAGCTGTGAAGAAGGGCATTGGTCTATGAGAAATTGTATGGTGATAGTAATAACTTGTGATGATACTACCTAGTAGTATGTGTCCAAGGAAAGCGAGTTTAAGGATACCACAACTAAATTTCATCCAATGTAGAAGGAAATCCCTGCTGTTTGAACAGTATTTTATAATTTTTTACAATCTGAATGTGTAATGCAGCTCTGAGACACAGAGGGAATACAATCTGTCTAGTTCTTTAATTAATGCTTTTCCAGCTATAACTTTAATTAAACATACTCAAGGACAAGAATAAAGGTATTTTCTCAAGTGAACCATAATAAATGATTCTGACCTGGAAGATAAAACTCAGTCATTTCAGAGTGAATATTTAAATATCTCTGTAATCATCCTTATGGTCAAAACATGTTTTTCTTTATAAATTGTTTTTGGGGTTGGTTTGTTTGTTCAATTAACACAAAGCAAAAAAGTAACTTCTAGATATTACAGGGTTTCAATTTAGGAACAGAAGCATTTGAATGGTAACAAAATCACATAGAAAATTGAACTTAAGTCTTTAAGATTCTGTATCTTTCTCTGAAAATTAGCATGCAATGAAAAAATAGCTTCAGTGAATCACTTCATCTTTAAGTAAACAAACAAAGTGCCTGTAGCCATATGGTACAGCATGAATACTTAAATATGTTATGAAAAGCTTAATGTATTATATCATTTGTACAAGAAAGCCCAACAACTAGTAAATACTTCTTCAATATTTACCACAAATTTTATTTTGAAAAATAATCTAAAATGTGTCTAGCATTCTCCATTTTCTGGGGCAGGTGACTGGTTAGGCGGGATTTTTAAATGTTATATTGCTATTATATGTTATATATTAATATATATAATGTATGTACAAGTACAGGGGTGTCTGCATGTAACAGAACCAAATTCCCCCTGTTACATTGTATTATGTGACCTTAGTGACCAGTCATGTTCCTGATACTTGGTTATTAGTGACCTACTGAAAGGAAAATAGTGTTTGTGCAAAACGCACACAGAACTAAACACAATAAACATACCTTTGATGTCAAATCACAATATTTGGGCGCTGAGCTCAATTGTAGAAAATCTGTGGAGCACTACCCGAAGACAGAGCTGTGACTAAGGCATCCAGTGGTTATTGGAGCTGACCAAATGCCTTTACTCTCATTTTTCTATATGAAGATAAGCAGTGATGCTTTTCACTGTGTACTTTTCATTTTTGGTGTGGTGGAAATTTGACATTACTCTTCTGGCAGGTAGTGGTAATACCCTTGGAGTGAGTGGTGAGTTGTGTCCCCTGACTCCAGAACAGCCTGCCTTACTATGTTATTTTATATTGTCTTCCCTCACCTATCCATGACTATGTTAGTTGGGAACAGCCTGACTGTGAGCAGTAATGTTGAGAAGAGCATTAGCACTTTTCATTCATCTTCACACATTCTGATGTGGCTACATTGCTCCAAGAGATTCCTGTTTTCTTTTTTGATTTAGGTATCTTCTGTCCAGTTCTGCAATATATGCAGTGCCAAACACCGGGGACCAGGAAGTGCAGTCCTGGAGATGAAGAAATAGCAATGGCCTCGTTCTCCATGTCAGTCAGTGACACCAAATCTGTTAGGATCATGCAGAGCCACTGTATTTTTCCATTAGACATCATTTCTGTATATAACTTTGATTGTGATTTGAAAGTGGTTCCTGTAATTTATCCTGTTTATTGAATATCTTGGGTAATGAGAAAATGTGAAAATCTTTCTCTGGTAATCTTTGTTATGCAATTCATATGTCATGGTTCCTTTGCTCAGCTTGTTATTTCATTCTGGAACAAAAAAAAAAAATAAAATGGGAAGGAAAAACCCATGTGATTTAGAGATTTGTGTTTGCTATCAGATAACGTGCTTTACAGTTTGGATCCACATCAGGCTTGGGGTTGGATATTGTAAAGAAAAATGTATTGCCAGGAATTCAGCTCACCAGGCTACTTCAGTCCTGTTTTAGTCTGTTAGGGACCTGTTTACCTTGAGACCCATAGGAGTCTGACTCCTTTCAGTGGAATTGCTTCAGAACTTGAAGTTGTCTGTGTGTCAACTCATATCTCCAGTTAACAAATTTGTTAACTATGAATTCCATACATTGGCAACTTCCCTTGGTTACACATTCATAGTTTATTAGAAACTGGTTAATTACTTAATTCATTTTCACAATGCAGTAGTTTAAAGTGAGCTTTTCTCATGTTCAAGACATACAGAAACTTTATTTTTAAATGTCAACAGTAGGTCTTTATGCTTATTTTATGTGAGTTTGAAGTGCATGGTTTCATTTAAGTGCAAGGGGGAAAAAAATGTATCTGAACTTTCAAAGGTGAGCTCTCTAGAAGTTTCTTTATGCCTTAGCAATTTAACAGCTAAGTTAAATAAGTCAATTGAATGTTAACAAATCCATATTTTTCATTTGAACTGTGTTCTGTTTTGTCGATCCAAAGGAAGTGATCTAAGTGATCTTTCAGAATGTCTTCACAGTAATGTAATCTGTTTATAATATATGCTGACTAAATTCAATATAAGCATCTTTTCTTTAAGAAAAATGAACAGAACTCCCAAGTTATTTTTCTGCTTTTTAATAACTTGAGTTTGAAAGTAAAAAATATATTGTTTTGACATCAAATTGTACTGTTTAAACTAGTTAACATACTAAATTCTAAAACAATGGTATATACTGCAGTCTGTCTGTAAAACTGGAAAATACTGTACCTCTAATACAATACCTTCTTCTTATAGTACCTTATTCCTGTGTAAGTACACCTTAAATTAATTTCTGCTGTGGAAACTTGGATTTCTAGTTTATGTATATTCATAATACTCTTAAATCCTCTGAGGAATTGGTCTAGCAATCTGAAGAATTTTTTTTTTTTCCCCACTGTACAGATCTGTATAACACTGGAATAAAATTTTATGTGTTTAGAAATGCTAGGACTTACTCTGCATGACTACATATGCAAAACAATCGTAAAAAGAACAGATCTCTCAAAAGCATAGTAATGTGTTAATACAGACAGTTGAGGAAAAAATAAAAACTGGTGCAAATTATTAATGAACATAGAGCAAGTGAAATAACAGAAGGGTAGGTAGTTTGTAGTGCAGAGCATAGTCTGCATACATCATTTCACCTAAAAGAATTAGTGCCTGGCTTTGCAGCTGTTCGTTTTCAGCAGCTAGTACACATTCTCAGGTATATTGTTCCTTTATCCATTCTTCACTACACTGATCAGGAAAGCTGCTTTGATTCCTAGCAAATGAAATGTTCCAGTGAGCTCAAAGGTTGTTTCACCATGATGTTTGAGTTATTGCCATGCCATGCCTGTAATTTTTTTTTTTTAAACCCCCCCTTCTTCATTAGCTTTAAGCAGCTTTTCTATGTTATATGCTAAGAATGCAATAAGCTGTCAGCTTACAGGAGGAAAAAGTCAAATTTCTTAGATACATGTATATGGAAAAGTGACCTGTAGATTAGTTATATGATAATTTCAAGAAGAATTTTTTTTACTTCAGCTTGGCCTTAAATTCCCTAAAGCATTTGAGCATTCTTTGGCTCAGTTTGCTAGCCTGCCATCATCAGCAATCATACTGCATTATACCCTGGCATACTCTTTGCATTATGCAAGTAATTTTAAACCACTGTATGAAAATCTAATCAAAATCTTCTCTAAATCCAAAGCTTCTTTCATTTGGGCTTCAGGGACTACCCTTTTTATGTTCCTGAAGTCTAAATTAGCTCATTAAGATTCACCAAGAAATGTACAGACCTGACTTTGATACACCCTTCTTCCTAAGAAGCCTTTACATCATAGAAAAAATCTGATATTAGAGTCTAAAATATTCAGCTACCCAAAAGCTTTTCTCCTGAAGAAGAATTTTGCCTAAGAAGTAACTGTAAAGTTGCAGAGCCTATCAGAAAAGTACAGAGTATCACTTGATCAGTTTCACCTGCACTTACTTCAGATTTCATAGTTTTTGTGCTTCTAAGGTAAACCTAAAATAAACTTAAAAGCTGTTTTTTCTCTGTTACATTCAGTTCTGTGTGAGTTCTTGACCAATAAAGCTAACTGAAAGGATTCATGATGGATTAAGTAAGTACATGTTGGTTTGTCATATCAAAAGAGAGAAAACTATTTTGGCTTCTAGCAGGACATCTCACCCCCTACAAGAACTTCTGTTATTAAACAGTCAGGTAACTCATACAGAACAAGTTGTCTTGTAGAGAGTTATTTCTGTGCCTTGGGGTTAATACTGGTCTGGCATCTCCCAGCTGCCAACATCTGTTGAAGAGATCTGGCAAGATAGGTTGGATTTCTGACTGACAGACACTCACTTTACAAACTACAAAAGCCACACCAAACTTTCACAAAGCAGAAATCTTCTATACATTTTCCTGGATATGTATGGAGCTTTTCCCATTAGTAGGGATGCCTGCTTTGCAGTTACTTCCCAGGAGTTAAGTGAAGGAACCTCTGTACAATATTGTCATTTTGGCAGTAAGTTACATTCAACTCCTAATCAATACTATTTCTTCTGGGATCTTAACTATAGGTACCTTGATATAGTGCAGCATTAAATGTTATACTGTAACCTACTAGTAGTTCTTTAGTTTTATACTGTGTATACTGTGTTATTACCAAGTAATTCTGATTAGGATCTCTTGTCTCTTTAATAAATAATTCATTTTTATAAATAGACCTGATCTGCCATCCTTAGAACTTGCCAAAGTGATTTCTTAAATTTAAACTGTTGTCAAAATCTGAGCCTAAGGCAGGGCTTGTTTAAAGTTCCCACTCATCCTGTGACAGGCTAAAGTGAGTCTTTGGATGATTTTTCCCATCTGTCATTGTTTTATTATTTTAAACCCTCCATGCTATGTGATAGGCCTGGTGAAAATGTTGGGCTGCACTGACAATTTTGGGGGGCCCCAGAGTAGGGAGCTAGAGGTGCCTACTAAGCATGAGACATTTTAGTTCTGCTGGGAGGTCAGTTAAAGTGGACAGCATCAGGAAAAAGTTTGACTTCTGCAAAAGGAGGAGTTAAATGTTCTACTGGGTCAGCGATGTATTGAATCAGCTGTTTGTGGCAGTTGGGCACGAGTCTGCTGCCCAGCCTGGCATGATTCAGTGTCCAGTTAATACTTCAAAAAATTGTTCTGTATACAAAGGTATGTTCTCTACAGCTGCACTACAGGAAACCTTGAACACATTGGGTGTGTTGGAACATAAGTTCAGTGTCTGACACTGATCTTGTGTTATGGAGCAAGAACAAAGACAAAATGAGTTGCTTCCTCATTTTTGGATCCATATCATTCCATATGTATCATATTCCATGCATTTTGGCTGATAATTGGGTGGAGGCTGCCAGTGTTCTGTATAGAATGCACAGGTTGGTCTAGCAAACTTTCATCATAGGAAATTTAATCACTTTCCACCTTAAGCTTAATGTTTATTCAGCTGGAGTCTTTTAAGCAGGCACTGTTTTGTTCTTTGCTATTGAGCAGACTACCGCAGTGGTATTCTGCTTGGTGTGTAAAGTTCCTGACTGTAATTCAAGGGAGCTGGAATTGCAAATAATCTCTTTAATAAAAACATCACAGAGGATTTCCTGCTTCTGAAATGTTGTGATTTAGCATTCAAGTATTGTAGGTCTGCAGTTGCCTTGGAAATACAGTGTCATCTCTGCAGGTTGGTTGCACTGGTCCCTGCACATGCTATTTGATAGCAGTTTGGAAAACTACTTGCAGGAAAATTCTTACCTAATGCTGAACAAAGGCAATTACCTGAATGAGAAAAATCTCTTGAGAAGCTAGTTTTCCATCTCCTGTTGTACAGTTCTGGCCTCTTATTCAGGCAGTATGACTTTTTCCCCTGTTTGTAAATGCTAGACATGACATCAGGGTCTCTTCCTCTCTAGAAAGTTTCCCCCTGGAGTGCATCTTTGCCAAATACCTGCTATAAATCAACTGCTGTACTTTGAAAACAATTTATACAAGACTAGTAAGAAAAGAAGTACCTCATTTAGAGAATGACTCTTTAATTATATACTTTTGGGACTGCCTTCTTACTCTATTGTGCCATGAAAGATTAATTTACTTTTGGCATTAGAAATATCCCTAGATGGTTTTTTTTTCTGTTCTTCAAGACAATGCGTGCTTTCTTTTGCTGTAATCAAATATTAAATTATGCAGAAAACAGGACATCTGAAGTGTCTGATGTAGAAGAGAAAAGAGTGTATGAAAAATTCTAAGGGAAGGTAATGAGTCATAGTGGAAATGACCTAAATTTAGCCTTGAGAGCCTTCTGTAAATGGGGATCATAATAAGCTTTTGCAATACACCAGGTCTTAGGGGTTCTGCTTAAGTTCTGACTGCGCCTTTCACCCAGGAGTCTGTAATGTGAATGGACAAGGCTGCCAGTGACATCTGCTCCTGGACTGTGCTTAGGAGCAGTCATGATGCAGGAGTCAGAAATGTGCTGAGTGGAGGCTGATACCCCTCCAGCCTGAAGGAGCTGCCAGTGGAGGTGTAGTAGTATAATTAAGGGCTAGGAAGTGGCAGGAGCTGCGGAGGGTGCTTGAATTATTTGTAGAGTTTTTCTGCCCTTGATTTTAGTTAGATCCCAGCAGAGTTTAAGTCCAGTTAGATTGACAAGGTAATGGTATCTTGGTGTCTGATAGCCATAAAATCACATTTAGCAAGATGTCAGCTGGATGACGTTCCAAATAGTGTTCACACAGGATGCAGATTTATCTGTTTCTGTTGAAAATGATGGATGGGAGCCACAATAAATAAGGTTTGAATTTTGTAAAAATCAGTTTAAGTGAAATGTCCTTTAAAATGAGTAATTGTCTCACATTTTACCATGTTGTGCTTGCAACAAAGTAGAAGCATGGGAAGGTGCAGATGACAACAGTGTTTTTATTATTTTATATGCTACCCATTCAATAGCAGCTATTTTTGCACATGCTGGCACGAGAATCACTGAAGCACTTTTCAGTGTGTCCAACTCTAGTGTGTCTCTATTGAGTCTTCATCTGGAATTTCTTCAAAATCATGAAGATCTTTAGTTAAGAAAAGCCAAATCTGGGAAGCATTTTCCTTGTGTTTCCCTGAACATTTCAGCCAAGAATATATTTCTGGTATAACTTAGTTCTATGCTATGCAGACTTTCATTCTCTCTGCCATATCAAAAGACTTTCCAGTGATGTGCTAAGAGAAGTATGTTCCGTTTACATTATTTCATAAGAATTCTTTCTCTCTTTTCTCCTTCTCCCCTTCACCACTCACCACTCCCCTCTGAATATATGCTTTGGAGTGAGTGCCTATTTTTGAGTTGTGTAGTGATTTTCAGTCATTATCTATCCTGTGGAAGGTAGCCAGGTCTTTGTTCATCCTTAGTTTCTAGGGGAGTTCATTATCTGGTGTCAAGCTAAGGAAAACATTTTCCTTCAGAGGCAAACTTCCCAGGATAGAATTTTCAGCAGTGCAAAGAATATCACTGAGATAGGAAGGAACCTTTCAGAATCATCTAATCTAGTTCCCCTGCTCCAGCACTGGTTGCTCCATCACCTTCCCAGGGAATGATTGAGTCTAACAAGCCTGTGGTTTTCCAGATCCTGCTTCTTGCTCTCTAAAGTTGATGATATGGTTAAATTGACAGCTAGATCCTTGAAGAGTGAGATTTACTTTTTTTCCAGTCTTCAGAAACCTCTTTCTGTTTGGCATGGTCTTTCAAGGATAATCAAGAACATTTTTTTCATACTGTAGACTTTGTGCCTGGGTATTTTATAATGTTGCAATCTAGTCCAGAGATGAAGCCGGTATAAACTACTGTTGGGCTAAATTGTGTTGCCCAACCAAAGAGCAGATATTCCTAAATGCTTGGCTCGGGAAGAAGTGTTATTCACAGAAACAGCACTGAGTTCCTTAGCAGTGGTAAAATTCAGCGGCTGCCACCATCTTGGTCCGGGAGTGGCCACACGGCCACAGCTCTCTCAGCATGGTTCACAATGATCTTTATTTGTTTAGCCACTTTTAGCCAGCCATGCTGTGAGCAGAAGGACAAAAATGGCAGCAGCAGATTTTCCTTTTCAGCGCTCTGTATGAAGAGAGGTGCTGGGTGGAGCCACCGGCCGGCACGACCCGCATGGTGCCAGCAGGGACTGTGTGAGCAGCAGCAAGTGGCGCGGCGAGCAATTCCCCAATGCACAGCCCAGACAGGAGCAACCTTTTCAGCATTGCAGAACTCCATACAATCTTTTTGATTAATAGAACTTGGGAACAAATGAACCTATAAACACCAATTCTCTCCCGAGTCAGGAAAAAGGAAAAAGTGAGGACATGTGAGGAGAACAACATGGCAACCTTAAGATCGGTGCAAAAGAGGGAGGGAGAAGGAGGAGGTGCTCCAAATGTCGGAGCTGAGATTCTTCTGCAAGCCATGGTGAGGGCTATAACACAACAAACTGTTTCCCTGTAATTCATGAAGTGCAGGGGGGGATGCAGCATTCACCCACAGCCCATGAGAAAAGGCACTCGTGCTGGAGCGTGTGGATGCTGAAAAGCTGTGATCTGGTGAGAGGCTTGCAGAGAGAGCCCTTGCTTTGAGAAATAGAGAAAGAGGACCCTTGCTTTTATACTAGAACAGCTCATTCTTGTAAACAAATCCCCATGAACTAAATGGCCCACCAAAAAAAAGCCAGTTGTGGGAAGACTGTTTTGCTTGTGGGAAAGACTTCACATTGCAGCAGATTTGGGCAGGACTGATACTCATGAAAATTAGAACCACATTGGAAAAGGTCACTGAGAACTGTCTTCCATGGGAAGGACCCCATGGCATCTTCTCCCTAAGTGAACTGAAGAAAAATTTTTAGAAATGACAAACTGACAAAAAAACATTTTTTGTCTCCCTGCACTGTCAGTGGGAAAGAAATAAGGGCAGGGGAGAAGACAGGCAGGGGAAAGGTATTCCGAAAGTTTTAGATCTCATCCTCTTTTAATTCTGTTATTAAATTTTTCTTTATTCCCTTTAAAGTTTTGAACCATTTTTACCCCTAAAATGTTTTTCTCCTAATCCTTATCTCACCCCATGAAC